CTTGGGTGCCCTTGTACACCAATCACAGAAAGTTAGTCTGCAGGTGCAGCAGCAATTAGGAAGGCGAACGGTATGTTAGCATTCATTATGAAAGGATTAGAGTATAAGAGTAGGGAAGTCTTGCTGCAACTGTATAGGGCCCTGTGAGACCACACCTGGAATACTGTGTGCAGTTTTGGTCTCCTTATTTAAGGAAGGACGTATTTGCTTTGGAGGGGGTGCAGCGTAGATTTACTGGGTTAGTACCCGGGATGAAGGGGATGAGTTACGAGGATAGGCTATAGAAACCTATAAGATCATCAAAGGCCATGATAGAGTAGATAGTGGGAGATTGTGTCCCCGGTTGGAGAAACTAAATCCAGGGGTCACAACATTAAAATCAGAGGCAGCCCTTTCGCACTGAGTTGAGGAGGAACTTCTTCACTCAAAGGGCAGTGAATGTATGGAACTCACTACCCCAAAGGGCTGTTGACGCTCAGTCCTTGAACATATTCAAGACTGAAATAGATAGATTTCTTATTGCAAAAGGCATTAAGGGATATGGGGATAAGGCAGGGTCAGGTTATTAGCTGGAGTTAGGTTTGAAGATCAGCCATGATTGAATGGCGGGGCAGCTCGAGGGGCCAAATGGCCTACTCCTGCTCCTACATGTTATGTTAAAAGTTCAGCCTTTTTTCCCACTAGAGCAATCTTCCTTGGGCGAGGTAAGTAGGGTCTCCTTGAAGAGGAACTGGCTACAAGGTGACATGCTTGGCCACAGAATATCGGAATCGAGCCAGGCCTCTGTGCCGGTCTATGGTCCAGTTCCAATGCCAGGAGCGTCCGCAGTATTCCAGGGCACTGCTGATGACAGCACAGCCCAGTCTGGCTCATCGGCAGGACCTGGAAGGGAAGACCAGTCACTGGGAGCAGGGAATCCTCCCACTCCGCTCCTGTTAACCCTGCAAACCAAAGCCCCAACAATTAGGGTGGTCCTAGCTGGACAAGCAGTGGGAAAGCTTACCAGACAGTGATATCAATGGCAAGCTATGTGGTTTTAGCTGGTTAGACTCCAGCAGTTACCCCAACGCACACTCTGGGGTCCCCAAGCCTTGGCTCTTGCCAACCTGCGCCTCTCCAGAGAGAGAGAGAGAGAGAGAACGCATTCCATTCCAACAATCTATCTCTGGGATTTCCATGTGTAAGTGGGAGGCCTGGAAATCTCAGCTTGGTTTGGAGACTGTTAAGCACGGGGATGGGTTTCCGCATGGGTCAGACACCCGGCTGACCAAAAAAAAAAGCTTTCCTTGAGAACAGACATTTTAGGGGGACCTAATTACAATATTTAAAATTATAAAAGGGGTTGATATAAGGTTCAGATAATTATTCTGTTTGCACTAGTTGGGGAGACCGTAACCAGGGGACACAAATAGAAGATAGCGAGTAGAGGGATCTAAGAGAGAATTTAGGAGGAACTACTTCATGCAAAGTGTCGTGAGATTGTGGAAGTGGTGGTTAAATACATTCAAGAGGAAGCTCGACTTTTACATGAAGGAGAGGGGAAAGAAGGGTGCGTAAGGGAGTAAGGAATAGATGAGGACTCAAGTGGAGTATAAACACCGGCACGGACTGGGTGGGCTGAGTGGCCTGTTTCTGTGCTGTTACGTTCTTTGTAAATCTTTGCAAGTCGTTAGCAACTTGAATGAGAAGTTTGTGAGTTCAAGCCCCACCTGGGGACTTTGAGCTCACAGGCTGGGCTGTCATTCCTGTGCAGTGCTGGAGGTTGGAGCTACATTGTCGTAGGTTCTGTCCTTCAGTTGAAATGTGAAGGTCTAATGTCTCATCTGAAGGATGAGATGTGACAAGCACTATATTGAATGTAAGTAAAATTGAACGAAGTAACCATCGGTGCAGTCGCTTTCAGCCACAAAGCCCCGAAACTCTGGAACCGTCTCCCTCAACCCCTCCATCTTGCCCAGAATACAGTATACTCTGTGAAGTGCTTTGAGATGTCTCGAAGACGTGATAAGGCGCTGCATCAAAATGAAAAATGCAGATGCAAGGATTATCTTCAGATCACGCCCGAAGACCTTCCTCTTCGACTGTGCCTACAGGCGTAACGAGGTGCCTGGTGATACAGTTTATCCACCAGGATGTCAGAGGAGCAGCTGTGATGTTTTGTTTTGTCTAAGTTGTGATGCGTGGTCAACACTGAGACTAACCCCACCAGCTCAATATCACCTGATCAGAAAACATTCCTTCTACTGAGCCTTGAATCCGTGGTCCTATTAACCCGTCATCGCCTGTTTCCACTGGCTCAAAATCCTTGCTTACAAAGCCCTCCACGGCTTTGCTCCTCTCTACTTCTGTGACCTGCTAACTCCATACTGACCTGTTCGCTCCCTCTACTCGGCCGGCTCCAGCCTGCTCCACATCCCCCGCCCGGCACAGCCTGCCCCAACATCAACGGTCAGGCCTTCAGCCTCTCTACCCCCCCCCATCCTTGGACCTCCATCCCACAGTCCCTTTGCTTCACCCCCCTCCCTTGCCTCCTTCAAGAGCACTCGCCTCGCAAGCGAGAGGACCCGGGTTCGATTCCCGAGCAGGACAAAACCTTAGGCAAGTTTCTTTACTCCACACCCCTCTGTTTACCTAACAATAAGTAGGAACCTGGGTGTTAGTCGATTGTCGGATCGATTTACTGGGGTAATAATCCCTAATTTGGTCACTCAGTCCACGACTGTCTGTGGAACGCATTTGGCGGCCGCGTTTCGCCCACAAAGTATATGTCAATTTACTTTACAGTATATCCTGTGAAGCACTTTGAGATGTCTCGATGATGTGATAAGCTGCTATATCAAAAGCAAAGATTATTATTATTATTATTAGCACTACATTGGCATATCAAGCCTCGAATGTGAGCTCAAGCCCAGTGTTAAGATTTTAAATGGGGTCTGAGAAAGACACCCCAGAACAATATTTTTGGATACACCAAACAGCAGAACAAAATGGCAGAGGTTGAGAGTTGCAAAGGGCAATTTCAACACAGTCACTAGGAAGGTTTTTAATTAATGACTGAAATGCGTTACAAAAAAAGGATGGTTGGTTTCAAGTGGAACTCATTTAAAAAAAAAAGAAAAAGGTCTCGGTGCTATTCTCAGGAGGACGGTAAGGGTGGGTGGTTTCGGAATAACCTTCTTCAGACAAAATAATCTGATGATAAAGAAAACAAACAGAAACTCATTTAATCATTTTGCTAGCGTTCCTCAAGGCCGGGCGTGTTAGCAGCCGTGGAATGGAAAATATTTTTCTGCAGGAACAGTGTGGAACCCTTCCAGGTTGTGAGCGGTGGGATTGAAGGATTTAAAAGGCTGCTGACGCTTTCCAGAAGCCTCGCTGGCCTTGTCGGCAAGGACGATCGCGTCGATCTTTCCAGAGACGAGCTGCTGCCTGAAGCTCTGACAATTAACTGAGAAAATACCTGCGAAATTTGAGTTAACGAGGTCAAATATTTGGGGGGGGGTAAGTTTATGCGTTAATTTAAAGCTACAGGGAAATAATAATTTGTAACTATACTTCTTTCAGTGGTTAGCGCAGTGGTTGGTAGGATCTCCTCGGAGCTGTGATGGCAGTAAGGTGACATCCTTATGTTAGAATTGATGATCTCAGTAGTCCATACTGGCTCATCAGAAGGACCTGGAAGGGCAGACCAGTCACTAGGGACAGGGATTCTTCCCATTCAACTCTCGTTAACCCTCCAAAGCCAACTCTAACAGGTAATTTGGCGGTGGTGTTGTCGCCGGCCTTGAATTAAAGAACCAAAGGTGAAACTCTAGCGGTTTTGTGGCAGCTGTGTTCTCGTATCATTACGATCTGTTCTTCTCTTGTGCTTTTTTTCTGCTGTTGCTGGAATCGCCGGTACCTTGAACAGTCCCGAGGTCGAGTGGTTTGAGGTGCAAAACCTCAGCTGGAAGTTCTTCCTTTCTGGAGGAGCAGAGAACATCGTCGCTCTCTCTCACTAACTCGAACACTAATTTTCTGGGCGAAACGCGGCTGCCAATTGCACACAGCAGTGCCCCACAATCAGTTGTGATCAAATTTATTATTTTTAAAGGGATTATTACCCCTGGAAAGTGATCTGCCAATTGACCAACAACCAAAATCAGGTCCTCTCGCTTGCAAGCAATAATATGTTAAGAAATGATATATTTCTGATCACAACAGTCTTACCGTTAGTTTCATTTAATGACGCTGTCAAAAAGCCTCAAAGTGCTTCATAATATTTTTTACTGTGAAGTGTAGTGACTGTGTATTTTGCAGGCAACTGGGCAGCCAATTTATACACAGCAACGTCCCCCGAGCAGCTATGGAGTGAGTGACCACTTTTATCTGGGGGATTGTTCGTCAGGACACCAGGAAAAGACTTAAAAACTTGTATTTACTCACCAGCAGAATTTCATAATAATAATAATCCTTGCATTTAACATAGCGCCTTATCTCATCGTTGAGACGTCTCAAAGCGCTTCACAGAATACACTGTGAAGTGAAGTGACTGTGTGTGTGTGTGGGCAAAACTTGGCAGCCAGCAGCGTCCCACAATCAGTTGTGGATTGAGTGACCACATTTATTCTTAGGGGATTATTACCCCAGTAAATCAATCGACTATCAACCAGTTTCCTACTTACTGCGAGGTAAACAAAGGCGTGTGGAGTAAGGAAATTTGCTTAAGGTTTCGCCCTGCCCGGGAATTGAAACTGGGTCCTCTCGCTTGCAAGGAGAGTGCTCTAACCAGTACGCTACAGGATTCCCATCCCCACCATCTTTTCACTATTCTTTTTCTGAGAAAAATGCTGAATTGCAGGTTACGGTATTAATACATCGGATCCTTACACCGTCGGTTTCAGGCTTCAGTTCGTAACTCGGAATGGAATGAATCCCTTTCCACTTCAACGATCCATCTTGTGAAATAGACAGGAAAATATGTGCTGACACCCAAGGTTGAGTTAAACATCAACTCATTCTTTCGTCAAAGTTCTTCCCAAAGTCCGAGCTCAGTCAGTCTCGTCAGAGAGCTGCAAGGGGCAAGTTCCTCTCTTCTCATCCCCAGGTACGGTCACCGTTACTTTGTTTGTTTCGTTTTTTTGGTCACTGCTCGGTGACAAAATCTGCCAGTGCTGAGGTTTGACTTTGCAGTGATTGCTGGACAGGAGCGAAGGCTTTCGCTTGGCTCAGTTCACAACGCTCTGGCCTCTGGAGTTAGAAGGTTGTGGGTTCAAACCCATCCCCACCATCAGGACTTTGCGCTCACAGTCCAGGCTGACACTGCAGTGCAGTGCTTGAGGGAACAAGCGGGCGGGACCTCGGATTAATGTCTCAACCGAAGGACGGCTTCTCCGACAATGTTACTCACAACCCCGTTCTTGACCCCCTCTGCCTTCCCCCACCTCCGTAACATCGCCCGGTTCCGCCACCGTCTCCGCCGAGACCCTCACATCCATAACATCCAGGCACGACTATGCAAACTCTTTTGCTTGTCGGCCTCCCCAACTCCTCCTTCCACAGGCTGCAGATCATCCAGAACACTTCAAAGTGCTCCACGGTCTTGCTCCCCCCTACCTCTGTGACCTCCTAACCCCCTACCACTTTGCTCATTCCCTCCGCTCAGCGGGCTCCGGCCTGCTCCATGCCCCAACCTCACTCACCCCACCATTGCAGAGCAGGCCTTCTGCCACTTTGCCCCCACCCTCTGGAAGTCCATCTCGCAGTCCCTCCGCCTCATCTCTCTTGCCTCCTTCAAGACCCATCTCAAGACCTTCGTCTTTGACCGTACTTTCGATGACCCTCCTTCCCCCAATGCCCTCCCCAATCCTGACCCCCAGCTCAGGTCCAAAACACTTACTGTCCAGCGCCTTGGGATGTCCTCCTGACGTAAAAGGCTCTATACAAATATAATTTTGTTGCTATTGTTGCATTTGAGTGTCAGTCCTGATGTGGGCTTAAACCCCCGATACTTAAACTCTCCCTCAATCCCTCCGCCTTGCCCCTTCTCTCCCTCTTTCGACGGTCACCTCCCCACCCCTTCCCCCACCCCCGGCTCGGATTCAGTCTCCACCTCTGTTAAGCGCTCTGGTATTTCAACCCTATAATGTATTTTAAAGAGAGATATAATCCGGACGGTTTTGTTTGACAGACCATGGCCTCCATTAAGATTGACTGCGTGGTGAAGGACAGCTGCAAGATTGGCGAGTGTCCATTTTGGGAAGTAAAGGAGAGCTCCCTTGTATATGTGGACGTGACGGGGCAGAAGGTTTGCAAATGGAACACAGTAACCAACAAAGTGAAGACAGTGTGTGTTGGTAAGAAATGGTCTCACGTTCAATCCTTTCCATTCCTGTTGTTCCTCCCCATCGGCTTTTGCTTCCTCCCTCCTCTCCTTATAATAATAATCTTCGCATTTGACACAGACCCTTATCGTACCTTTGAGGCGTCTCAAAGCGCTTCATAGAATATACTGTAAAGTGAATTGACTGAATATTTTGTGGGCAAAACGCGGCAGCCAATTGCACACAGCAGCGTCCCACACACAGTCATGGATTAAGTGACCAAATTATTATTTTTTAAGGGATTATTACCCCCGGAAAGCGATCCATTAATCGACTAACAACCAGGTTCCTAGTTACTGCTCGGTAATCAGAGGCGTGTGGAGTAAGGAAACTTGTCCAACGTTTCGCCCTGCCCGGGAATCAAACCCAGTTCCTCTCGCTTGCGAGGCGAGCGCTCTAACTTCTGAGCTACAGGACTCCTTTGGCTTTTCTGAGTGGAACTTTGATTAACCCAAATGTTTTACGGTCCACTTGTTGACTGGACACTGTCGGGTCAGTGTGGGTGACCTTTGCTCTTCATGTTGCTTGGACAGTGATGGGACTTTGAGTCTAGGCCTATAAACCTGGGGGTAGGGGGAGAAAGAGGGAGCAATGCATTGTCAGAGGTGCCGCGCTTCAGATGAGGTGTTAAGCTGAGGTACCGTCCGCTTTCAGGTGGACTCTTTGAGAAAAGGGAAGCGAGTTTCTCTCTAGGGTCCTGGCCAACAATCCGGGTTCGATTCCCCGCCCCCACAAAAAATAATAATCCTTGCATTTGATATAGTGCCTTCACGTCAGGAGGACATCTCAAAGCGCTTCACAGGATTTACTGCAGTGACTGTGTATTTGCGCAAACAAGCAAATGCCCCACAAACAGCCATGAAGTTGATGACAAATTTTACACGTGGAATTGTTGGTCAGAACAGCGGGAGAGAGAAATCCATTAGAGAGATCCATAAGGGATCTTTAACGTCCACCTGAACAGGCAGACAGAGTCTTGGTTTAACGTCTCGTCCAAAGCACTGCTCTAAAAACGCAAGTTCCTTCCTACTATTCACTGTTTGTGTGCCTGTGACCTGTTGCTCCTCAGACGCCCCAATTGGATCAGTGGTTCCCCGAAGATCAGGAGGCTACGCGTTGGCACTTGGAACCAGGTTTGCCTTCCTGGACTGGGATAAGGAGTGCGTGACTGACATCGCCCACGTGGACAAGGATAAAGGGAACAATCGATTCAACGATGGCAAAGTGGACCCTGCTGGTCGCTTCTTCGCAGGTTGGTCAACATCAGCGCCTTATCACGTCTTCGAGATGTCTCAAAGCGCGTCATAGAATATATTGTAAAGTGTGGTGACTGTATATTTTGTGGGCGAAACGCGGCAGCCAAGCAGCGTCCCACAAATAGTTGTGGATTTCATGACCAATTTTTTTCTCTGAATGAGTCCAATGTCATGGCCTCAACCACCCTTCCTGGCAACCTCTTCAAATTGTTAGTTACCCTCTTCAGGAGGAGAGGAGTTGGGAGGCAGAATGGCTGAACGCTGGCCTGCTGATGGAGAGGGCTGGTTCAGGCAGGAGGGACTCTGTTCGCAGTCATTCGGGTTGCAGGACGTTGTGGAGGTAGGATGGTCAAAATAAAATGGCTCAAATATGATGCTGTCGAGGCCCTAGAGGCAGAACAGAGGAGAGCAATGAGGATGATCCCCATCGTTAGAGGAATGAGCAGTGAGCAACGATTAGACCAGCTACAGGGCTCTTCAGTCTCGAGAGAAGACGACTCAGAGAGCTACAACATTTTAAATAGAATTGAAAAAGTAAACGCAGATCAATATTTTTGGCTGCACCAAGACAGCAGAACGAGAGGACACAGGTATGGAGTTGTGAAGGGCAATCTCAGGACAGACACCAGGAAGTATTTGTTTACGCAAAGGTTACACAACAACTAGAACAGGTTTCCAGGAAATGAGGTTGAGGCCAGGGCACTGGGACTCATTGAAAAAGCAGCTGGACGCAGTGATGGGGGGGAGGGTAGGGGACTAATCTTGTGATCTTGTGATCGCAATGTGAATTTACAGTTATATAACGCCTTTCACATTGGGAGGACGTCCCAAAGCGCTTGAAATAATTGGAGCGTGCATTTTTAAAAAGAGAAATAATCTTTTGAAACCTGCAACACCTACTGAGTGTTAATACAGGGTTAACACCGAGCTCTTGCTACAGGGACCATGGGGATGGAGATACGTCCGGCTGAACTGGAACTGAAGCAGGGATCTTTGTACACGCTGCAGGCTGACCACTCGGTGGTCAAACACTTTGACCAAGTGGACATCTCCAATGGCCTTGACTGGTCACCAGACCACAAGGTCTTCTATTACATTGACAGCTTGTCTTTCACAGTAGATGCTTTTGACTATGATCTGCAGTCAGGCAAGCTGTGTAAGTCTTCGATACCCCTTATTAATTTATTCTACTTACTTACTTACCTGTTTGTTTGTTTTGTACTCGTCTATCTATCTGTCTATTTATTTATTTTAAAAAAATATGAATTTATTTTTTACTACTAAGCTTTGGGCCCAACTGAATAGACATTCAGTTTACATTTAAATTCAATTGACATTTAAATTCAATACAATTTAAAGTCAATGCACTGTACAGTATATTCTGTAGAAGTCTCAATGACACGATAAGGTGCTATTTCAAATGTAAGGATTATTATTAAAATGGGGTGACTGCATTAGAGATCTGGTGTAGGGAATGGAAAGGTTAGGTGTAACTGCCAACTCTGCACTCCTATTATCCTCATCCTTTCTAGCAACTCCCCGTATCCCAGTGCATTGATTTATTTCAAAGTCTTCATCCTCACCTTGAGATCCATTTTCAACCCTGACCTACCTTACAATAATAAAAATAAAATGATTAAACAGATGATAAAAGCAGATGAGCAAGAAAGAAAGAAAGCAATGAAGAACGTAAAGTGTACAAGCAGTTAAAGGAGCTCATCCTGTTATAATAATCATCCATTATAATAATCCATGCATTTGATACAGCGCCTTATCACTTTGTTGAGACGTCTTGGAGAGCTTCACAGAATATACTGTAAAGTGAATTGACTGTGTAGTTTGTGGGCGAAACGCAGCAGCCAATTGCGCACAGCAGCGTCCCACAAACAGCCATGGATTGAGCGAATAAATTTTTTTTGGAGGGGATTATTACCCCCGGAAAGCGATCCGCCAATTGACTACATTACCTCCGCAATCTCCACCCTCTGCTCCTGCCCTTACCCTCTGCTCTTCCAACACTGCTCCTACTCTTGGTTCCTCACTTGAATAATAAGAACGCTAATAATTCAATGTAGCGCCTTTCACATCGGGATGGCATCTCGAAGCTCTTCACTGTAGAGTGCAGTGTAGAGCGTAGTGACTGTACTTTGTCAGTGAACATGGCAGCCAATTTGTGCACAAACAGCCGTGAAGTGAATGAACAATTTTATGTGGGGGATTTGTTCGGAGAAACTCCCTTCTCTTCGCTTCCTCGCTTTGCTCTGCTTCCTTTCATCAATGGTCGTCGTGTCTTGTAAAACACGTGAAGATGTTTTGATGTAAAAAGATGCAATGAAAGTCAAGCTATAGTCTTATCAATTGGACAGCAAATCGAAGAGCCGTCTACAAGCTTGAGGCAGAAGAAGCCATTCCAGATGGGCAGTGCATCGATGAGGAAGGCAAGCTGTGGGTGGCCTGCTACAACGGAGGAAGAGTTCTTCGTATAGACCCTGAGACAGGTAACCATCAACCTCCCTACCGACATCACCCCGTCAAGGCATTTCAATCTTATGTCCAACCAGTGGAGGAGCCAAGGTTTGCGATTGGGGGGAGGGCGATGGGTCATTAATGGCACCTCCTGCCTGTCGCTCTCCGCGCTGCCTCATCTCTCCCCCTCCCTCCCTCTCCCTCGTTGCCTCTCCTCCCGTTGTTCCCCACGCTGCCTTTCACGAGGTTATACAAGGCAAGGGCCAGCATGGGGAGCGAGGAGAGAGACCGAGTGGGAGGTAAAGGTGCCATATATTCACCAAAAAGGCCACCAGGGGGTGACTGCCCTCCTCCTCCTCCTCCTCCGCCAACCCCCCCAACCAACCCCATTACCTCCACCACTGAGACGTCTCAAAGCCCTTCACAGAATATACTGTAATGTGGTTTTGACAGTGTATTTTGCGGGCGATGTGACTGGGAATAGTCCGTCACTCTGAGTCACAGACGAGAGCGTGTGTTTCAGGGAAAAGGATCCAGACGGTGAAACTGCCGGTTGACAAGACGACCTCCTGTTGCTTTGGAGGCCGGGATTACTCTGAGCTCTACGTCACCTCAGCTTCAGACGCCATGGACGAGGAGTGGCTTAAACGACAGCCGCAAGCGGGCGGCATTTTCAAGGTGACTAAACCGATGGGTTATTTCCCCTCTCGTTTCCAAACTGGTGTCAGATTTAACCATAATAACCCTTACATTTGGTATCGCGCCTTTCGCGTCGGGAGAACATCCCAAAGCATTTCACAGGATTTGCTGTAAAGTGGAGTGACTGTGCACAGGGCGGGCGAATGCAGCCGCCTACATGCGCTCGGCAATGTACCCCAAAATAGCCTTGAAATAAATGACCAATTTTTATTTGGGGGGAGGGATCTGTTGGCCAGGACACTGGAACATCCTCTCTTCTTCTTTCGAATTGTGCCGCACTATCTTTATCTTCCACTTGAACAGGGAGATGTCCTTCGGTTCATCCGAAGGACAGAATTGTGCCTCGAGAGAAAGCCAAGAAAAAATACCTGACGATGTGATCAAAAAAAAACCCAGGCCAGTCAAGTGAGATTAGCAGTTAGGCTGGAATAATACCTGCCTCAAAGGGTTCTTATAAAGTGACCTTATACAAAGGCTGCACAGGCTCGAGGAGCTGAATAGCCGAATCCTGTTTCTATTTTTATTATGAATAATAATATACATATAAAAATCTTTTAAAAATATAATAAAAACATTCACTTTACTGTGAGCGCTTTGAGACTTCTCAGTGACGTGATATGGCGCTACATCAAATGTAAGGATTATAATAATAATAATAATAATAATAAGAGGAAATATTGAATAGGAACAAAGGAACAGGAGGAGGCCATTCAGCCCTTCGAGCCTGTTCCACCATTTAATTAGATCATGGTTGATCTGTACCTCAACTAATCCAACTAATGTGGACATATGTGACAATATAATACATACATAGTTCCTAGACATTGGGATTGTTAATAAGACTATACAAAGATGGTCTCTGACAAAATACCTGGTGCACAAAATCTCATCTTCCTCCAAAATATTTTAAGAAGGTCAAATATATTAAGAAAAATAACATGCATTCATTCGTATGTAACATGACTGTTTACCCATCACTGAAAACCATTTAGAAATTACCTCTACAGAGTGATTTAAACTGTTATAACATAATAATATTATGATCATAATAATACATAATAATATTATTATTAATAATATTTTATTAATTATATTATTATATTATAAACAATATTATTATTCTGTGAAGCGCTTTGAGATGTCTCAACGATGTGATAAAGTGTTATATCAAATGCAAGGATTATAATAATAACCCTATTATATAACAATAAAGTGCTTCACAGAATAATACTGTAAACCGAATTGACTGTGTATTTTGTGCGCAAAACGCAGCAGCCAATTGTGCACAGCAGCGTCCCACAAACAGTCGTGTGTTGAAGTGACCCAATTATTATTATTTCACTGTGAAGTGTATTATTATTATTTGACAGAGCCCATAAATTGTTATCAAATGCTCCATAAAATCGTCCAAATGTATCTAACGCATTCAGCGAAAAGGACAAACGATTAGAACAAAACCAGTTACTGTTTGACCCCTCTCCCTTCTCCGTGGCAGATTACCGGACTCGGTGTGAAGGGATTTGCACCACATTCCTTTGCAGGATGAAGAACAGCATTCTGTGCGATTACGGGCGGAGCACGTGGTCGTCCTAATGAACTGCTTCGAGCGACAATGAACCACAGTGAACAGTCTCTTGCAACCTTGCGGTTAAATTAGCAATCTCTAGACTTACTGNTTTTTTACACATTGCCACTTGTAACAACGCTTACCCTCTATGGCTTTTACGTCCAACCCCACCACTGTTTAGCGCTCTGAGACGCTATCCTGTGTCAAGCGCCTATATAAATGTCAGTTGTTGTTGTTTTAATCCCGTGTTATCATCATAACCTTGAAAACATTAAAAGCCATTTTCTCGGAGACACCTCGCTGTGTGGTTTGTTTGATGAATCAGTTTGATGGATGTGACAAGCGTCTTAACACTGTTGTTGTGCTCATTCTCGGTCTCTTGTCTCTCACTATCTGTCTCTCGATCTCACGAGATCGTCTCTTCTCTATCTCACTTCATCTCTCTCATTATCTTCCTCATTGATCTCTATCTCATCTCTCTTATTGTCTCTCAATCTGTCTCTCTCTCGCTCTCTCTATCTCACTCTCATTCTCCATCTATCTATCGTCTCCTCCCTCTCGCTCTCTAAATAATATTGCTTACATTTGGTACAGAACCTTTCGCATTGGGAGGATGTCCCAAAGAGCTTCAAAGCATTTACTTAAAGTGGAGTGACTGTGTATTTTGTAGGCGAATGCACAGCAATATCCCCAAACAATAACCAATTGTAATGTTTGGGGGATTGTTGTCCAGGACATTGGGAGAAACTCTACCTGAAATGACCTTGGTTTAATGTCTCATCTATAGGATGGCATCTCTAACAATGCTGCACAGGTCTGCATTGGAGTGTCTGTCATCTTAGATTAAGTGAGTTCAAGCCCTGACGTGGGGCTTGAACCCACAACCTTCTGACTCTGAAGCAAGAGTCCTCATGACTGAGCCAAGCTCTCTATTCTCTTCCGCTCGTTCACTCGCACACGTTCTCTCTTTTGGCAATATCAGAGGTGCCGTTCGAGATGGGAAACCAGGGTCCCATCTGCCTGTTCAAGAGGACATTAAAGATCCTGTTGAAGCTGTGGAAAAGAGAAGGGAGATTCTCCCGGTTAAATGGTACATTGGAATACATTAGAATATGCGGCACAGAAACAGGCCATTCGGCCCAACGGGTCTATGCGGTGTTTATGCGCCACATGAGTCTCCTCCTACCCTTCCCCAACTAAGCCTTCAAGCATAACTTCTATTCCTTTCTCCCTCATGTACCTATCTAACTGCCCCTTAAATGTAGCTATACTATCTGCCTCAACAACTCCTTGTAGTAGCATGTTCCACATTCCCACTACTCCCTGTGGTGTGGGGGGTTGTTGCTATAATCCTGGATCGAGATGTCCTCTCGATGTGAAAGGTGGAATTACATAATCTAAGGATTATTATTATTATTATTATTATTATTATTATTATAATAAGTGCCAGACACTTTCTTTTTGTCTTCTTTCTCCTCTCCCCACCTACCGCCCTTGCCCTGCAGGTCATGGCATCCATCAAAATTGAGTTTGTGTTGAACAACAAGTACCAGTGTGCAGAAGGTCCTGTGCAGGAAGACAACTCCGGGTCCTCATGTCTGTGGATATTGAAGGAAACACTGTCCACGGGTGGAATTGCACCAGTCGTCAACGAGGGTAAGAAGATTTATGCTCGGGAACTCTCTCCCTCAACCGCTCGCCTTGCCCTCCCCACTCTCTTCCCACCTTCAAATCCCGCCTAAAGATCTTTATTGATGGTGCGTACTGTCACCTGCCCCACTCCCTCCCTCTGCCCTGCTTGAAGGAGGCTATATAAATGCAGGTTGTTGTTGTCGACGTGCCCACCGCTCTGCCATCGATGACCGTGCTTTCAGCCACAGTTCCCCGAAACTGTGGAACCCTCTGGCTCCGTCCCTCCGCCTCGCTGTCTCCTCTCGGGCGTAGTGGTTGGAGCACTCGCCTCGCAAACCGAGTTAAAAAAAGATTATTAGCCGCTTTTGCCCCTAAAATGCACGGGTTTTGATTGTGTAGATAGGACAGGACTGTTTGCACTGGCGGGTGGGTCATTAACCAGGGGACACAGATTTAAGATAATGGGCAAAAGAACCAGAGAAGAGACGAGGAGAATTGTTTTACACAGCGAGTTGTTTCCCCCAGTGTCCTAGTCAACAATCCCTCAGTTAAAATCCTTCATTCACTTCACAGCTGTTTGCGGGACATTGTGTGTGTGTTTGCTGACAAAATATAAAGACACTTTACAGTAGAATCCTATGAAATGCTTTTAGACGTATCCTGACTTGAAAGGCACTATATTAAGGGTTACTTTTGTGGGACACTGCGGCCACAAAATATACAGCCATTACACTTTGCAGCATATTCTGTGAAGTATTTGGTGACGTCTCAAAGGTGTAATGAGGCGCAATATATAATAAAATCCTTGCATTTGATATAGCGCCTTTTCACGTCTTCGAGGCGTCTCAAAGCGCTTCACAGAGTATACTGTAAAGTGAATTGACTGTATATTTGTGGGGGAAACGCGGCAGCCAATTGCTCATAGCAGCGTCCCCCAAACAGCTGTGGATTGAAGTGACCAAATTATTATTTTTTTAAGTATTATTATTGCCGGAAAAGCGATCGGCCAATCCTGCCGGGAATAGAACCCAGGTCTCTCGCTTGCACCACGATTTCATTGCAATAGGTGCCGGAGGGCTTTTCGAGTCGGTGACTATTTATTTTGCGTCTCGGAGATAGTAAAGCTCGAGACAGTCCAACATCAAGGAGACCCCATTTACAGCCCCCCTTCTCCCCATTTCCTCCCCACACCCCCCACCTCTAAACCCATTCCTCTGCACTGTATTAGCCTTTCTGTGCACAACTGCCCCCCCCCCCCCCCACACACACATAGCGCTGCATTGGAGTGTCTCATGAATAGGGGAGTAAAGACCCTTTAATGGACAATCCATGAGCTGAGAGAGAGAGAGTATGATGCTGTTTATATTATTATATTAGCAGCCACATGCAGGAAATGTTGAGCAATAAGTTTCAGAACCCGGAAGGCCCCAGTGGATTGGCAGAACAGCCTCGAGACAAGGAGGAGCTGCGTTTCCCTGCGAAACACAGCAAACAGAGAGCAATATCTGCCTTATGTCTGGAGCTGACACAGCGAATCCTGTCCTCTCCACAGTGAGAGAGTGAGAGAGAGAGCACCGTCTGTCTGTCTTACTGTCTATCAGTCAATCTGTCTGTCTGACCTGCTGTGGCTCAACGCACACGCGCACAGGGTCTATGGGGAGCCAGAGACAGAGCAGATGCTGCTAAAACTGCAGAGAATCAGCAAACACAGCAAATATAGCAAAGATCACAGCACAGACGACAGGGATTTCTGCACAAGCAGCAGCCCGGAGCAGACCGAGAGGTACCGGTACTCTGTGTGTGTGTAAAAATGTCTCTGTCCTTCTCTCTCAGCCCAGTTGCCACAGAGCTCTTTAAGTTGATGTGGTACTGATTCCCCACATCAACTATTCCTTCTTCATCACTTCTCTCTCTCTCTCTCTCTCTCTCAGCTCATGGATCATTCATTAAAGTGTCTTAACCCCCATTCTGGGACACTCCAGTGCAGTGCTGGGGGGAGGGGAGGGGAGGGGGGGGGGTTGTGTTGGCGGAGGTGCCGTCTTTCGGATGAGACGTTAAACCGAGGTCCCGTCTGCCTGTTCGGATGAATGTTAAAGATCCCGCGGCACTATCCGAAAAGAGAAGGGAGTTTCCATCCCACCCCCCAAATAAAATTGGTCACTCACTCCACGGCTGTTTGTGGGACGTCGCTGTGCGTAATTGGCTGCTGCGTTTCATCAGCAAAATATTACGGTCAATTGACTTGACAGTTTATCCTGTGAAGCTCTTTGAGACGTCTCAACGACGTGATAAGAAGCTACATCAAACAGAAGGATTATTATTATTACTACATCTTCATTTAATGACCTCGCCGAGAATCTCTTTGAGGTGGAATCCGCCGCTTTTCTTTTCAAGGAAATGACGGATTCAAGGAACACTCAGCAGCAGCTACCAGCGGGTTTCCTTCAGAATCGGGATTTTTCCCACTGGATGTCGGAATTGCCGGAAAAACTGTGGGATCAACCCCTGTGTAACCTCGCCATTCCAGGTACTGTGGCTCATGCAGTGTCTTTCACATACTATCGCTCTCATCAGCAAGACAACCACGTTACTGTTGGAGGACAGTGCGTCAGCGCTCAACAACAACAAATTACGTTCGTATAACGCCTTTCAAGTCAGGAGGACTTCTCAAGGTGAGACACTGCTGTGCGCAATTGGCTCAATATCAAATGTAGGGATTATTATTAAACATTAGTTGGTGCTTTGGGTTACCGTGGCTGTTGTATATATAATTTGGGATTGGCCTGACCTTTATTCATCATTTTACGTTGTGTTTTTATTTCCCCACCAGGAAGCCATGACTCGATGACTTACTGCTTAGATATGAACTCTCCGATAGTACCCTCGGAACCCTCGATCTTATACTATTTGGACTATTTACTGCCCTATCTCACTCGGCCAGAGATATACAAATGGTGTACAACACAGGTACATTCCCCTTCACCTGAAACATTTGCATTCTTTTCCTGTAACATTCCACCTACAAAAATATACAATCAATTCACTTTACAGCTTATCCTGTGAAGCGCTTTGAGACATCTCAAAGACAGGATAAGATGCTATATTATATTATATTATTATTATTGATGAAAGCAGAATTTGTTGCAAACACTCAACAGGTCACGTAGTCTATGGAGAGAGGAAATGAAAGTTTCGGGTCAATGACCTTTTGTCATCGACTTGAAACGTTTAACTCACTTTCATTTCCTCTCTCCGTAGATGCTGCCTGACCTGCTGAGTGTCTCCAGCGACTTCTGTGTTCATTTCAGATTTCCAGCAACTGCAGCTTTTTGCCTATTGGATTCTTTTCCTTATTTTTCCCTCTCACATCGAGGCGTCTAATTATTTTTCCAATGTTGTCGCTACTGCCATGTGGCCTCCCTGCTCCTTGGTCTGGGCTCCTCTTATGGGATGCTGTTGGACTGGTACTTGGTTGCCACCTGGCTACCTCCTGGCCCACGTGGCCATTATTCACATGTGATCCTTAGCAGTGAGTGTTGGCAGTCCATTCAATTGTAGAGTTGACTGTCGCCCACTGGCTCCCTGTCACAGAACGGATCAAGATCAAGATCCTTTCACTCGCCTACAAATTCCTTCACACCCTGGCACCTCTCCACTTCTCTGACCTACTTTCTCTGCACTCCACTAGCCATCGGCGCCCGGACTTTCAGCCATTATGCCCCGAAGCTCTAGAACTCTCTCCCCCAAACCCCGCGCCTTGCCCCCTCCTTCCCCTCTTTTAGATCACGGCAGCAGACCTTTCTCTTCGACCATGCTTACGGTCCTCCCTCCCCCCGGCTCAGCATCAGGCTCCACCACTTTTAAACAGTTCGAGCTGTTGCTTGAAGGGCGCTATATAAATGCACGTTGTTGTTGTTGTAGGGAGCCTGACTGCTGAGCCTGATCTCTCCTCACCCAGCTGTCACACAGTGTTACATAGCGGCCTTCACGAATGGTTGCGTCTTGGGGCGCTTACCGGCGAGCCGGAGAGGGAGAGGTGACTGTAGAGATGATCAGAGAGGAAGGTCGATCTGAAGACGGGCAGGGCAGGAGGGGGCAAGGCAGAGAGATTGAGGCATGGAGTTATAGATCAAGTGGATTTCATAAAAAAGGCAACTTGTAAAACCACAGTGGTGACCTGACACAGATACATAAGAACATAACAATTTCTAGACCAAAGAAGACCAAGGTCCATCCAGTTCACCTTCCACCATCCTGGAAGTCCCAAACATGTCGAGTCCCGACACGTCGGGTTCCAAACGCTATACTGTTCCCGAGACATTATTTCCTAAAAGAAATCTATCTCATTTGTTCCTGAAAGAACCAACACTTTCTGCTTCCACCGTCTCTCCAGGGAACCTGTTCCATACATTTACGACTCTCTCACTGAAGTAGTGTTTCCGCAGGTTTGTTCTGAATTTCCCCCTTCAATCGCAGGTCGTGTCCTCTGGTTCTACTGTTCAGTACAAGATAAAACAGCCGATCATGGTCTACATTATCTAGTCCCTTCAGAATCGTAAAGGCCCTAATCATATTACCCCCCCAACCTTATCTACACTGGACTGACAATTGTATGTAAGCCCAGTATTGTCTCCATAGAAATGCAAACGAGCATACAAACCAGTTTCACATTACATGTTCTTTGTTCCTTGTGGAGGTTTCTGCCGGGCAGTTGGTTTTCTAGAGCTCTGGTTCAGATAGTCAGTCCTCAATCAAAGGAGCGTCTTGAGACAGGCCTTGAAGGAGGCAAGGGAGGGCCGAGGCGGAGGGATTCCGGGATGGAGTTCCAGAGGGTGGGTCAGAAGAGCTGAATGCCCGACCGCCAATGGTGGAACGGGCAGTACGGTGGGGGCATTAACGTTGACATTAATGTGGCTATGATCAAATCTGTGTGTGGTATTCCAGCTGAGGTCACTCGGTGTGCTCGCGCGTGGAGAATCATTGACAATTTCTGCACGAGAGAAAGCCGATCGGGTCACTGTGCCACGTCGGGTACAGTGCGTGGGTCAGTGGGCGGATACCTGCGACTGAATAAAATAATAATAATTCTTGAATTTGATATCGCGGTTTTCACGTGTTCTCGACGTCTCAAAGTGCTTCACAGAATACACTGTAAAGTGAATTGACTGCATTTTGGGGGGGAAACGCGGCAGCCAATTGCGCAGAGCAGTGTCCCACAACAGTCGTGGATTGAGTGACCAAATTCTTATTATATTTTTTTTTCTTGAGGGATTATTATTAGGCTCTGTGTAGAGTAAGGAAACTTGCCCAAGGTTTTGCCCTGCCGGGAATTGAACCCAGGTCTCTCTAACCACTCTAACCACTGAGCTACAGGACTTCACACGCTTCATTTCTCTTTACTGGAGAACAGCACAGAGTCATCTCATCAGTCATTGTGGAGTCCTGTAGGATATTGGTTAGAGCACTCACCTCACAAGCGAGATGACCTGGGCAGGCGAAAGGTTAGGCAAGTTTCCTTACTCCATGTGTCTAAATAGCAATAAGTAGAAACCCAGCAGTTCGTTGATTGGTGGATGAATTTTCCAGCGAGTACTAATCCCTTAAAAAATATATAATAATTTGGTCACTTCAATCCATGACTGTTCGTGGGACGCTGCTGTGCGCAATTGGCTGCCGCGTTTCACCCACAAAATATCCAATCCACTTTACAGTATATTCTGTGAAGCGCTTTGAGATGTCTCAAAGACGTGATAAGGCGCTGTATCAAATGCAAGTATTATTATTATTGGAGCGAGGGGTGAGTGGGTGGGTGAGTGGGTGGGGGGAATAACGTAGATGTATGAACCTGGCAACGCCTTAAAGGGACTTGAAGTTATTACAATGACACATTCATCATATATTTCAGGATTTCGATGTAAGCCAGCAGCTAGAAGCAGGGATTCGGTACCTTGACCTCAGGATCGCTCACAAGCCGAAGGACAGTGCTGAGCACTTATACTTTACACACGGAATCTACACGTCCATCACTGTGCAGGTAAGTCACCTGATCCACAACGGCCAAAACAAGAGCAACAATTGCGGCTAAAATATCAAGTGCGGTTTATCTGGTTAGACTCCAGCAGTTACCCCAACACACGCCCTGGGGTCCCCAAGCCTCGGCTCTTGTCAACCTGCGCCTAATACTTTCCGGCATTAGGTAAGTAGGCAGTGTCCCTCCAGGGAGAGGGGGAGAGAATTCGCCTTCTGTCCCGGACACGGCAAAATTCCCATGTGTAGGTGGCTTCATATGTGGAACTCTCAGCCTGGTTTAGATACTCCTATGTAAGGTGATGGGTATTCCATGTGTATTAAACACCTGGTTGACCCCCAAAAAGATACTGTGTGTTTTAGGGCTTTATTTAGGGTTTAGTTCATTAAATTAAGTCCCAGAGTGGGCCGGGAACAGCCTGAAAAATGCTCATTTGTGTGTTGTTTTCAAAGGAGGGATTGACAGACATCAGGACCTGGCTGGAGACTCACCCCAAGGAAGTGGTGATTCTCGGCTGTAAAAACTTCGAGGGAATGGACAAGCGGAAACATCGCCAGCTGATTATGATGATGAAGAACATATTTAGGTCCAAAATATGCCCGCAAACCTCCGTGGTAAGCTCTACAACAACAACTTGCATTTGTATAGCGCCCTTCACACAGGGCGGTGTCTCGGAGCGCTTAACAATGGCGGAGCCTGACCCCGAGCCGGGGGGAGGGAGGAGGTGACCGTGAGCACTGTCGAACAGGAAGGTCTTCAGTTGTGATCCAAAAGGGGGGAAGGAGGGGGCAAGGTGGAGAGATGGAGGGAGAGAGCTCCAAAGCTTCTGAAATGTTTCTGAAAGGGAAGCTGTTTATAATAATAATAAACCTTGCATTTGATGTAGCGTCATATCATGTACTCGAGACGTCTCAAAGCGCTGCACAGAATGTACTGCAAAGTGAATTGACTACATTTTGTGGGTGAAACATGGCAGACAATTGCGCACTGCGGTGTCCCACAAAACAGTCGTGAACCGAGTGACCAATTTTATTTGGGGGATTGTTGGCCGGGCACTGGGAGAGAGAAACTCTCTTCTTTTTCGAATCGTGCCATAGGATCTTTAACATTCACGGGAATAGGCAGACAAGGCCTCAGTTTAACGTCTTATCCGATGGAAGGCCTGATATATTAAATGCAAGGATTATTATTATAATTATTATTATCAGAAGACGTGACCATTTTTAGGGCTTGAGTTTGCTGTGTTTGTTCCAACTTTAAAACACCAGTTTTATTTTAACAGGAGTTTATAACGTTACGAAATCTGTGGGCATCGGGGTTTCAAGTCATCATTTCCTACGAGGATGCCATTGCAGCGGAGTACAGGGAACTGTGGCCATCAATCCCTTACTGGTGGGCAAACACCTATAATCCTGAACAGCTCATCCAATTCCTGGATAGTCATAAGCAGGCTGGCCGTCCAGGTAACGTGAACAGAGGGGATTTCATGCTCTCCTGCAGTGAAAGGTGTTATATCAAACGGAAGGATTATTATTTATGTAAATCCAAGTGAACATAAAATTGGTCACTCACTCCAAGGCTGTTTGTGGACATTGCTGTGCAAATTGACTGCCGCTTTTCGCCCCCAAAATACACAGTCACTCACTCCACTGTGAAGATCTTTTGAGACATGATAAGGTGCTTCTTGTTCTGTGGAACCTCACTTCTGTGGACTCCTGTAGGTCAGTGATTAGAGCACTCGCCTCACAAGCGAGAGGACCTGGGTTCGATTCCTGGGCAGGGCGAAACCGTAAGCAAGTTTCCTTATTCCACACACCTCTGTCTGCCAATTGGCTGCCAAGTTTCGCCCACAATATATACAGTTAAATCACTTTACAAGTATATTCTGTATAACGCAAGTATTATTATTATTGTTGCTGCAGATGGATTTTTTGTGGCTGGCATCAATCTCACGGAAAATGTCTGGTACATCCTGACTCACCTGAGTAGCTCTCTGAAGAGCCTGACATTTTCCAATTACCCTCTCTTAACCGACTGGATTGAAGCACAGATGCCAGGGCCAGGCAAGAGCTGTGTGAACATCATTGCTGGAGACTTCATAGAGGCTGCTTATCTGGTGCGCACAGTCGTTGAGCTCAACAATAAACTGCTTTAGAAAGGACTGCTCGAGATGAAACAACCACGCAGTTGAGTAATAAAGGAGCAGAGATGATACTTAATGCATTCCTGCGTGAGACTGCAAAAGAAGTTATAAAGCCTCATTACCCTGAGCGATGTGGTGCATCGTTACTGTACCTTTCTTGTTTTACATTAAGTGTCAGCCTGGCTGAGTTGGTTTGCACTCATGTCTCTGAGTCAAAAGTTTTAAGCTCCCACATTGGGGACTTTGAGCTCACGGTCTAGGCTGACACTCCAGTGCAGTGCCGGGAGAGTTGCTGCATTGTTGGAGGCGCTGTTCTTTGCTGGAAACGTGAAACTGTGACTCTACATCAAATGCAAGGATGATTATTATTACGTTTAGTGTTTAATACGGTATTAAAAGCAATTCCATGTCATAGTGTCAAAGCACAAGTGTATGTGTGTGTGGGCTAAAGTGGTGATGTTCCTGATCTGTGCTGGAGCATCAGCGAAGGAAAACTGATCGATCATTTGTGCTCATCCCCTGCGAGAGAGGAGAAACAGGGAAAGGATCAGTAAAAAGGTCAATCTATGGATCGTGTACCAGCCTGTTACTAAGCTGCGCTGGCAAAAGTTATGGAATGTATGTGTGTCACCCTGGTGCAGTGATAGCACTCTCACCTGAGTCACAAGGTTGTGGGTTCGAGCCGCCCCGGCGGGACTTGGAATCACATCGTCTAAGCTGACGCTCCAATGCAGTGCTGGGGGGAGGGGGGGGGTTGTGTTGCATTGCCTTTCGGATGAGACATTAAACCAAGGTTCCATCTGCCTGTTCGTGTTGATGTTAAAGATCCCATGGTGCTATTTGACAAGAGAAGAGAAGTTTCTCTCTCCCGGTGTCCTGGCCAACAATCCCTCAAATAAAATTGGTCACTCACTCCATGACTGTTTGTGAGACACTGTTGTGAGCAAACTGGCTGCCACTTTTCGCCCACAAAATACACATTAAAACCACTTTGCTGTGAAGCGCTTTGAGCCGTCTCGACGACATAAGGTGCTCTATTACTGTGAGGTTTATTATTATTTTTTTATGGATCTCCCTGTTCATGGCATTATTCAAAAAAAGAAAAAGGAGTTTTTCCTGGTGCCCTGGCCAAGAATCTCCCAGATAAGATTGGTCACTCACTTCACGGCTGTTTGTGAGACATGGTTGCGTGCAAGTTGGTAGTCACATTCACCAACAAATAAACAGTTACTCCACAGTAAATCCTATGATAACAGTGTGAGGCCAAGAGGAGAAAAAATTGGAGGCTCCTTTGCTGATAATTTGGCCAGTGGAATGCACTAAGGGAAAGGGATAAATGAACTTGAATACAAGGTGCAATGTTATGAATGGAATTTGCCCCAACTTTCCTCCATGCAGAGGAAGCAAAGTATTCAACAGATAGTTACACCTCAGTATTAAGAGAGAGTGAGAGAACACAAATTTATACGGGGGATTGTCGGTCAGGACACCAGGAGAAACTCCCGTCAGTCTTCGAGTACAGTATTTCTTTTGTGTAAATCCTATGCAGTTCGACTTACAAATTCCTGACATGGGGCCTGAGCCCACTCAGAGGCAAGAGCGCTTACTATCTAACTGAGCCAGAAAATGTTACACGGAGCCATTCGGTAACCACCTAAAGTGAATAACATCTGTCACTACCTGCGTTGGATAAAACACAGGACTGTGCAGAACATGATCATTGGTTCTATTTACTCTTCTCTATTTGTCCTTCATCTTCTGAAGGGGATGGAGTTGATACCGGGAGTAAGTTTCCCGAATGCTATTGGTCTTCTCCAGCACCTCTTGCAAGGCGTCCATTCAGACAGTGACCGTCACTGAGCTCGTTGGCTGAATGCTCGACAACCCCGTCTGGGTTTCCAGTGGGAGTTGCTGGGTGGCGATCAGGAACAGATTAATGTTTCTTGGGGGGGCACTGCACTGCAGCACTCCCACCTGAGGTCCATATTTACATACAATGTACAGCACGGAAACAGGCCATTCGGTTCAACTAATCCGTGCCGGTGTTTATACTCCACACGAGTCTCCTCCCGCTGTTCACTTACCGCCTCACACCCTCCTGTTCCCTTCTCTCTCGCGTGCGTGTATCATATAAATATCACTACCATCCAAATGGAACGAGCCTTATCAGCACCAAGTGGCAGACAGGATTCTGATTTTTCCAAAGCCTTCCCCTGCAGCAACCTCGTAGCTCCATCGCTGACCTGACACACAAGCCATGCACTCTAATTTCCTGGAGGAACAAGCAATCTATCTGCAGGTTGTCTTCCTTTGTTTTGGTAGTGGTGCAAGTCCTCTGCATCGGAAAGCCATTCTCCGCGGCGCTCCCTTCACGGCTGAAAGAGTTTCCTGAACTTGCCGTAAGCGGAGCTGCTGATGATCACCCGCACGTTCGCCAAACCATCGTCAGGCAAGACGTCCACTTCCTGCACCGTAGCCTCCTTATACAGCCAACTGGGAACAATGAGCAAGAGGGGGTGAACATGGGATATCAGCAAACAAATAGTAGTTGATAAATAATAATTCTTACATTTGATATAGCGCCTTATCACGTCTTCAAGATGTCTCAAAGCGCTTCAAAGAATATACTGTAGAGTGAATGGACTGTGTATTTTTGTGGGTGAAATGTGGCAGCCAATTGCACACAGCAGCGTCCCACAAACAGTCGTGGATTGAGTGACGAAATTATTTACATTTATTTTTAAGAAATAATTAGCCCTGGAAAAATGATCCACCAATCAACTAACAACCAGGTTCCTACTCACTTCTGGGTAAACAGAGGTGTGCGGAGTAAGGAGACTTGCCCAACGTTTCGCCCTGACCGGGAATCGAACCCATGTCCTCTCGCTCGCGAGATGATTGCTCTGACCACTCAGCTACAGGACTGCACTTGTAAAACCCCGAGGAGTTCAGCTAAAGTTACTCATTTAACACGACGACCGGCACTCTATAGCCTTTTCACCTCAGTTGAGGACCTGCCAAATTGACTGTAAACGTCTGGATCGAGTTTCCAGTCACTCCCAGAACCGCTTCTTCTATTTTATTTTTCAGCTCTTCCAGACCGTCGCCCCGTAGCGCAGAAACCGCTACTGTGTCAGGGTCTGTGGGAGAAAACCTGTAAAGAAAAACTATAATAAATAATAATGCCTACATTCGATAGAACGCCTTATCATGAAGTTGAAAGCACTTCACAGGATACCCTTCCTGTAGCTCAGTGGTTAGAGCACTCGCTTTGCAAGTGAGAGACCTGAGTTCAGTTCCAGGCAGAGGGCGAAACCTTGGGCAAGTTTCCTTACTCCACACAGAGCCTAATAATAATCCCTCCAAAACCAAAAACAATAATAAATTGGTCATTTTCAATCTACGACTGTTTGTGGGACATTGCTGTGCGCAATTGGCTGTCGCGTTCGCCCACAAATATACAGTCAATTCACTTTACAGTGTGTTCTGTGAAGCGCTTTAGGACGTCCTTCCGATGTGAAAAGCGCTATATCTAATGCAAGGATTATTATTATTACAAAGTGGATCGACTCTGTATTTTGTGGGTGAATGCAGTAGCAAATTTGCGCACAGCGTCCCACAAACAGCCATGGAGCGAGTAACCGATTTCATTTAGGGGATTGGCGACCAGGACACCGGGAGAGAAACTCCCTTCTCTTTTTCAATAGTGCCGCAGGATCTTTAACGTCCGTCCACCTGAACAGGCAGACGTTAAATGAAAATTATTAAATGATTTGTATTAAATTGTTATAGATCACAGTGAATCTTCGTAAAGAGTTTCCTGAAGCAGGATTGAGAGGTGCGTTACGCCGATCCATTCTGTGATATTAACCCTTTGGGGGGGCAAAGTGGGTCTGAAAAGCTTGCAGGAACAGTCTGAAGTTCAGAAATATGTTCTTACCCATCTACGAGATCAATTTTATTGTGCACTTCAATCACGGAATCCAAGAGTTGGTTTGGAAGCTGGAGATTCCTGAGGACGTTCAGCACATTCAGTTTTTGGTTTGTGGTTTCAGGGTGGCTAATGTCCCTGACATGAACGATAATGTCCTGAAAAACACAGAAAAAGAACAGTCCCAACATTGAGTGTGTTTCTCATTAGGGAAGTTATTCCCTCTATTCTCGTCAATGATCCGATTTCATCTGCCTCCCCCCATTTCACCTGACCCACTCCCTCCCTCTATCTATAACTCTAAATGTTACGTTATGTTTTTGGAAGGGCAAAACAAAAATATTGCTTATGCGTCTCTTTCTCAAATAGGGTATCCGGACCTCAGCAGCCAAAAGGTTGGACTGCCCTGAACTACGTGATTTCATAGGCTTCAGTCAGATTCATCAGGAAGAGGGAACTCACGGAGTATGCTACATCCTCTAGTGTGGCTGAGAACGATTCAACCAAGTTGTGAGGAAGCTGTGAGAGGAATCCAATGGTGTCAACGTAAATGACGGTCATACGGCTGGCCAGCACGCCAGCATGAGCTGTGACATCCAGCGTAGCAAACAGCTGATTTCGAGGCTCCAGTCCCGAGTCTCCGGTCAGAGCCTTAATCAGGGTTGTTTTGCCTGAACAGAGGAAAGAAATGGGACAGTTTTGCAACTGATTACAACTTCCGTACTGGAGGGGTTAGTGATTACAAGCGAGGAGGATCTTTGCTAGAATTTATACGACAACGTTGAAACGGTCAACATGCTTCGCTAGAGTTTCTAACCGCCTCACAACGGTGACTAAAATGGCTAAGGTTGTTATTACATGCTCCAGGTAGAGAAAACGTTGCACAGGTTTCTGATTTCGACCACGTGGGGCAGGTGCTTCCAGACACGAGAGAAAGAGTAAACTGGTTGGAAAGAGTTGGCCTGGGAACAGGGTTAGATCTGAGGTGAAAATACATTTCTTCTCATAGAAGATACTGTTTTGGAGCATGGTTTGAGAAATCCATGGATGGGAAACCGATTTGAGATGTTCAAGGAGATAAATATTGACTTGGAAAACAGAAATATGAGGGATATGGTAAGAAGACAGGGAAGTAGGGTTCAGTGAGGTGGTAGTGTATAGTCCCATAGAATGGTTTGTGAATGAGTGGGCATGGTAGGTTCTTCTTTACGTAAATTCTGATGCATTTTATGCATTGAAGCGAGTTAGCACAGTTCTGTATAGAACCAAAGCAGATTTCACTGCAGTTTGTAAACTATGCACTCACCACAGTTTGTGTAGCCCATGATCGAAATAACCGGAAACTCCCTGCGCTTGCGTTGAGTCCTGAGTAATTGTCGTTTCCTCCTCAGCTTCTCTAAGGCGCCTCTGATCTTTAGTTCCCTCTCCTTCAGGAGCCGCTGCTGCACCTCCATGTACGTCTCTCCTAGAAAAGCAACAAGACTTAGCACTTGGATATACCAGAGTGTTCATCACCTGGACTTCAGGTAACGTCAATAAAAGAGGGAAAAGGAAACTTTATGGAGACTTTAATAGACAATCTTATTACATCTGTTATTATTAATATAATCCTTGTATTTGATATAGCTCCTTATCATATCGTTGAGACGTCTCAAAGCGCTTCACAGAATATCCTCTACAGTGAATTGACTGTATATTTTGTGGGCGGAACCCGGCTGCCAATTGCACACAGCAGTGTCCCACAAACAGTCGTGCATTGAATGACCAAGTATTATTTTTTTTTGAATAGATTATTACCTCTGGAAAGCGATCTGCCAATTGGTTAACAACCGGGTTCCTGCTTACTGCTGGGTAAACAGAGGGGTGTGGAGTAAGGAAACTTAAGGTTTCGTCCTGGCTGGGAATCAAACCCAGGTACTCTCACTTGTGAGGCGAGTGCTCTAATCAATACAGGAAAGGACTCCGCAGTTAGATGCTAATTGTTAAAAATACTTAGCAAAAGATCACTTTATAATGATAATCTCTCCCGTCTATAAGAAGACTCCTTTTGGGTAAGCAGTGATACTGACAAGTGCTCACCCAGAGTTCTGCTCTCTTTACGTATTACTTCTTAATATTGATTGAAGGAATTGAAAGGCAGTCAGTTAGTCAGGCAGTAGTTTAGAATATCAAATCTGTGAGAGCCGGAATATTACCTGAACCCATAATGTATCTAGATCCTCCGCCTTGCTGATCTAAGTGAGCAAATTCGTTTCTCAGTCGTGACCTTGCAAACAAAAGGAGCAATCTACGTTAACAAATAGTGTAAGGTTCAAGTCAAACACAACTTCAATTTATATAGTACCTTCACATCAAGCCAAAAGGGTAGGGGAGTGGGAGAGGTAACTGTAGGCATGGTCTCTGACACAGTGGTGCGGTTGGATGCCAGGCAAGGGAGAAGGGCTAGGGCAGCTGACTGTAAGCACAGTCAAAGAGGTAGGTTTTCAAGTGGGATTTAAGGATAGACGGAGCGAGCTGGAGGGATTGAGGCAGGAAGTTCCAGAGAATAGGGATGTAGTGGCTGAAGGCATGGCCTCAGGTAAGTCTTTTCTCCATCGATTTGTCTATCATTTGAAAAGACTGTGGTCTAAAACTAAAGGTGTCAGGTAGCCCTCCCATTAAACACACGATTACTGTTAGATTAAGGTTAGCTCTTACCTGAGGAACGGAACCTCTGCCAGTGCTATCTGCAGTTTGGCTTCTTTGGTGCGAGCATTACAACGGAAGATATGCAGAACGATTGTATACCTGTCAAACACCTCTGCTCCCCAGGCAGCTTTCATCTCTTTCTAGCACGTAAGGAAAGGGCAAGTTTTACTATTTCTCCAACACTTACACAGAGTAAGGCTCATCCAATGACGTATCTGACACAAACATTGAAACAAAATGGGACACTTTTGAAATAAAAAGTTGGCCATCAAATGAAAATAATAATTTAGTTCTGCAGCATTTATATATAAACACAATTAATTCTAAAAAGCAGAGGGGTTTCAAAGCAATTGTCTAGTCATTAGGTCCATGACACTTCTAAACTGTTCCAAGTTTCACCGTGTAATGGACTCGGGTCCCGACCCAACTGTCCAGCGCCTTGGGACGTCCTCCCGACGTGAAAGGCGCTCTATAAATGAAATCTCTATATAAAAAAAAACCTTGATTAGATTGTGATTTTGCAATCTCTCCTTGGTGTCCATTATTTGCTATACTTTGAGCGCTGTTTCACTCTACAGGATATTCAGGTTACTGGTGAATCTCGTTTACCTCTGATAATGCTGACAGCCTTTCAACGTTCATGAACACCGCAGTGATCTGTGGCAGCCCTTTTATTTTTTCTGTAAACAGTAATATTGAAATGTGAAAGTGAATTAGACGAATATCTGAACAGGAAAAATATAAATATATGATGGCAAGACAGGGGAGTGGGACTAGCTTTTACAGATAGCCACGATGGACCAAATGGTTTTCTTTGTGCTGAAAAATTCTAGGCTTCTATGGAATGACTGTACAAAGGTTTAAATTAAAAGTATGCAACAACAGGGGGAATGGAGCATCAAAATAAGCCTCAACTGCTGACCCCCACCCACACCCCCATAAAAGTCGGGTTCGGTTGGGTGTCTGTCACATGCGGAAACCCATCACCGCGCTATTATTATTATTATTTAGAGTATCCAAACTAAACTGAGAATTCCATGCATCCCACCTACAGATGGGAAGTATTAGACGCAGGTTGGCAAGGGCTCAGGCTTGGGGACCCCAGAGTGTGCGTTTGGGGTAACTGCTGGAGTCTGATCTCAACTTAATTGTTCATTTAATTGATAATTCAATTAATAATATGCCAACTTTTTTTTTAAAGTTAGGTGCGGGATCCCAAAGAGGTGCAATTTACCTGTAAGTGTCTGGAAATTGCCTTTACCAAAAATGAGCTTGTTATCTGGCTGTTTGGTGGAAAGAATGATTTTATCTACAACTCTCCAGTTGGGCAGGGTGTTCACGAGAGCAACTGCTTCAGCCATCTGAAGTTCACCTTGTGAAGAAAGAGAAGCAAGAGCAATATTGTTGATCAGTCTTGAGCTCCCAAATCACTTGATATATCATATCGGCAGTCCAAGATTTATAATAATAATACTGGTTCCATTTGATATAGTTCCTTTCACAACGGGAGCGCATCTCAAAGCGCTTCCCAGGTACTTTGTGCAATGCAAAGCCCAGTGCAATGCAAAGTGTATTTTGCCGATGATCACGGCAGCCAATTTGCACATAGCAGCGCCCCACCAACAGGCATGAAGCGAACAACCAATTTTGTTTGGGGAATTGGGTGTTACATGAACCAAATTGTTGCACCAACCAGTGCCACAGGATCTTCCGCGTCCACCCGAGCAGCGGATGTGACAGTGGAACCTGCGGGTGTTACCTGTTGTTAGGCGTTGCTTCTTTGCTCCCCACTTGACATCCGGGTGGACAATAAACACTCTGTGACCCCCTTCGGGGAGGGTGGGGAGTTGTTCCTGAAGCAGTTCCTCGAATTCAGCATCGTCCGCGTCACGTTCCCCTTCATCGTCGCTCACCGGTCCGCCTTCCCCCGCGCTTCGCTTCCCGCGACTTGAGCGGCCGCCGCTGCTGACGGTCTCCCCGCTCTTGAAGCGGCGCTGACCCGTGGCAAAGGGGCGAGCGCTGCGGCGGCACTGGGCTGCGGGCGGAGGGCCGCTCTCGGGGCGCGCGGGGACGCTCTTCCCCTCGGGGCGCCCCTCGGGGCCGAGGGGCACCGGCACCGGCGGCCGCGCAGCGCAGGTCCTGAGCGCCCGACCTCCCGTGAGGCGGCGCAGCCAACGGAGCGTCGACGCACTCCCCCCGAAGGGCATCGTCCTGCGACGGGAGAGTCGCGATGAGAAGCCGATGCCGTCCCACGTGCAACGGTGACGTCTTCACAGCGCGTTCTGCGAAGGGCTTTGGAGACAGACGTCTCGACCACGTGGGTCTGATGGAGGGATTATTATTATTATTATACTGAGGCGCTCTCAGGGGCTTAATAGCCCCTCCCAACCCCTCTCTGACTCTCTTCACCCCTCACACACCTGGTGTCACGCTGACGCTGTTCCCCTCCACTTCCGGTGTCACGCGGACGCGGTTCCCCTCCACTTCCGGTGTCACGCGGACGCCGTTCCCCTCCACTTCCGGTGTCGCGCTGACACCGGTCCCCCCGGGTCCCCGCTGGTTGCTATGGCAGCGGTCGGGCGGACGGAGCCTCTGCGGGAGCCGTGCGGGTACCACCGGCGCTTCCGAGGTAACGGCGCGGCCTCTCATACACCGACACACCTCACAGCCACAGCGGCGGAGCTGAGGGGGGGGTCAGCCCGTACCCGCCAGTGCCGCTCCACCTCCCCCCCCCTCTCCCTCCTCTCCCTCCCTCTCCCTCTCTCCTCTCTCTCCCCCTCCCCCTCCCCCTCCTCTCCCTCTCTCCCCCTCCCCCCCCTCCTCTCCTCTCCCTCTCTCCCCCCTCCCCCCCTCCCCCCCTCCTCTCCTCTCCCTCTCTCCCCCTCCCCCTCCCCCTCCTCTCCTCTCCCTCTCTCCCTCCCTCTCCCCCCCACACTCTCCCCCTCCTCCCTCTCCCCCCTCCTCTCCCCCTCTCCCCCCACTCTCTCCCCCTTCCTCTCCCCCTCCTCCCTCTCTCCCCCCCCTCCCCCTCTCCCCCTCCTCCCTCTCCCCCCTCCTCTCCCTCTCTATCCCACCTCTCCCCCTCCTCTCCCTCTCTCCCCTCCCCCTCTCCCCCCCTCCCCCTCTCCCCCTCCTCCCTCTCCCCCCCTCCCCCCACTCTCTCCTCCATCAGAGGTTCATCACAATAATCATCTAATAATAATAATAATAATAATCCCCACATTTGATACAGTGCTCCGTCACGTCTCCCGCAGCCTCCGCCGGGAATCTCCCGTAAAGCGCAGTGACGTCCCACCAACAGCCGCGGATTGGTTGATCGATCGGTCGGTCGATCTGTCCGTCTGTCCTATTTATTTTGAAGGGATTATTGTGACCCGCGTCGCTGGGAAAGCGATCCGCCGGTCGACGTGACAACCGGGTCCCCCATTTGCCGCTGAGTAAACCGAGGCGGGTGGAGTAAGGAAACTTGCCCGACGTTTCGCCCTCCCGTCCCGTCCCGTCCCGTCCGGGAATCGAACCCGGGTCCTCTCTCTAACCGCTACCCCCCCAACAACGGGACTCCGTAACTGCCTTATCGCGTCGTCCAAACGTCTCCCAAGCGCTTCGCAGGTCGAGGCCAGAATGAAGCCATTTATTTGCTTACTCCTGCGTTTGCCTTCCCCGGGCAGTCTGGCACCGCTGATAATAATGCCGCGCGTTTGGGACGGCAGCGCCTTATGGCGCTCGAGGCCTCTCGAAAAGCACTTCCGCAGGATTTTACTGAAAAGCGTAGTGACTGTGTGCATCGTGGGCGACGTGCGGCAGCCCCTGTTTGCGCACAGCGACGTCCCCACAAATAGCTACGAAGTGAATGACCGATTTTGTCGGGGGTGGGGGTGTGGGGGGTGGTATTATCGGCCAGGACACCGCGAGAAACCCTCTTCTCTTGTCAAATCGCCCCGTGCAAATCCTTAATGTCCACCGGAACAGACGACGACAAAAGCAATTTGCGTTCATACTGTAGCGCTCTTCACAGTCTCACAGTCCTGGGAAGCTTAACAGTGGCAAAGTTCGATAATAATAATCAGTTGAGTTTAGACTTCAGTTTAGACGATGAATCCAAAGTCTTGGCGTGGGGTTTAAACCCACAACCTTCTGAATCAGAGGTGAGAGTGCTACCGCTGAGCCAGACTGACACCCTGTGGACTTCAGTGAAGATTAGTCCCTTATTATTCACAAAGTCAGTAACGCGTACATTGCTGTAAAATATTTTTTTAAAGAACACGAACGCCTGTGCCTATGTAAATAAATTAATAAATATCTCCATACTGCCACAACTATGTTTTTGTTATTTATCCCAATTATGGTTTCTATTGTTAATTATCACGATTTTTAATTTTTTTTATTTATCTGCTGTGTTTCGCCCACAAAATTACACAGTCAATCCACTTTACAGGATATGCTGCAAAGTGCTTTGAGATGTTTCAGCGCCACGATAAGCCACTATATCAAATGCAAGGATTAATATTATTATTGTTAATTGAAGAAGTATTAACACAGGCATTAGGATATTGCAAATGCTGTTGGTATAGCCTCTTTAGAGCGAAATACTGTTGCTACATAGCCCCATAAGGTCATTGTTTTGGTATCTAGTCTATGCTCAGTTACTGATCTATGGCAGGATTGTAGTGAAACAAAGTTTGGTAGAGAGTGTGTGTGTTGCAGATAAAAATCAGCTATTGTTTCTGCGCTGATTTCGCTCCTGTGACCACTACCAAATAGTCTTCTGAACAATTGCCTATCTATCTCGCCACTCGGGCGATGTACTACGGGGGAAACATAATCCTTGTGGAGTCAGTGCCTTAGGAACATTTTCAGGACTTTTAAATACTACATCTGTTTGGTTTCAGAATAGAAAAAAAATTCATAAACATTAGCGCTCATACCACTCAATCAATATCTTTGCCAAATAACTATCTAAATCCCGCTTGAATTTGCTGATAAAATCTGCCTCCAGCTTCTCCCCGGATAATACGTTCTTCTTGCAAGGTAGTTTAAATCCAAACTGACGTCTGATTCAGGAGAGAAGGGAAAACAAATTTGTGGAGGAAAACTTAAAACAAGAACAAGTGAAGATTGTACCATATTGATTTGTGCTGTAATTTTGCTTTGCTTCTTGTACTATCTTATAGTTTGGGTTGGCAATATTTCCCCCAAAGGGAAAAATAAAATCCAATGAACACAATTGCTGCCATTGGAAGCACTCATAAACATCCAGTCCTCTGTAGGTACCTTGAATGAGTAAATGTTTGATCTGGAGTAACTCAGAAAAATAGGTAGAAAAGGATAAAATTGTGTGCACTAAATTCATTGCTCAGTTTACTCTTTCTGCAGTTTAATAATAATAATAATCCTTGCATTTGATAGAGCACCTTATCAGGTCTTCGAAATGTTTCAAAGCACTTCACACGATATACTATAAGGTGAAATTGACCATATGTTTTGTGGGTGAAATGCGGCAGCCAATGGCGGACAGCAGCGTCCCACAAACAGTCGTGGACTCAATTTCTTTTTTAAAGGGATTACTACTGAAAGAAAAGCGATACACCGATTGACGGACAACCGGGTTCTTACTTACTGCTAGGTAAACAGGCGTGTGGAATAAAGACACTTGCCTAAGGTTTTGCCTAAGGAACCTGGACCTGGGCCATTGCTTTAACCAATACGCTACAGGACTGAAGTTTGTGGGTTAAGGATGCTACAGGCGTACAGGCTTAAGTAAGCAAAAATATGACTTTTGCAATGTATTTTTTCCTTTCTTTAGTGGATGTTAATGTCAAGAAACCCCTTCAGCCCATTCAACTGAGCAGTGAACAAGTGGCTCTGGAGATTTGGTCTCTGTGTTTTCAGCTTGATCTCCTTATCAAGACAGAGGTACATGAGGCAAGTGATCTGTCCATTTGTCAGTCAAAATACCCTTTTGCTCAGCAAAGACTGTGACAATCCAAGATAATTTTTTCAGAATGTTTTTGTCCAATTTGGGATGCATTACTTGTCTTTTCTCTTGTTGTCTTACCGCAGTGATTATAGTGAGGATATGGAAGGTGTGTGGTGTGTTCTTGTGTGGTGAGAGGCATTATTTTAATGGAGAATATTGTGTACGTTAATAGCAACAAGTCTCAAGGTGTGTGTGCTGTTTCCAATTTGTAGTACAAAATATTTGTCCAAACCTGGATCTCAGTATAATAATAATCCTTCCATTTGATATAGCGCCTTTTCATGTCGTTGAGAAGTCTCAAAGCGCTTCACGGAATAAACTGCAAAGTGAATTGATGATATTTTATGGGCGAAACGTGTGGCACACGTGGATTGAATGACCAAATTACTATATATATTTTTTAAGCTATAATTACCTCCAGAAAGTCAATCGATTAAAAACGGGGTTCCGGTATGTGAGTGAGTATGGGTTTCACTAAGGTTAAAACCTACTCCATTGTCCCACTAGAGCTCCGTTGAAATTATCTTCCATTGGGATCAGAATTGTCTCAAGTGTACAGTATTTTTCTACAAACATATAGTATTTTAATATTAAAATAAGTTACCAATATAATTTAAAGCAAACAAAATAATAAAATAATCCTTGCATAAACCCAGTGCCTTTGGACGTCCTCGTGACACTATATATAAAGGCAATTTGTTGTTGTTACTGGTGCATTTGATATATCATCTTTATCTTCAGGAGGCAGTCTCCAAAACACTTAACAGGATTTGCTGTGAAGTGTAGTAACTGTATTTTGTAGACAAAGGAGTCAGCCAGTTTGCAAACCGCAATATCCCACAAACTGCAGTGAAGTAAGTGACCAATGTTATCTTGGCCAGGGATGGGGAGAAACTCCCTTCTCTTTTCGAGTAGTGCCATGGGATCTTCAATGTCCACCTGAATAGACATACAGGACCCCAGTTTAACGTCTCATCCGAAGAGTGGCACCTACAGCCAACCAGTGCACCCCCAGCACTGTTACTGGAGTGTCATCTTAGACGATGTAAGTTCAATGTGAAGCATCAACCCACAACCTTCTCACTCGGAGGTGAAAATGCTACCAACTGAACTAGACTGACACCTGCACCCAGTAATGTGCAGTGCCACCAGACAGAATACATAATTGAACTATCCATTTTCAGAATGAGTAAAAAGTACTCAGAAGACAATGGTACGTTTTTTAAAATGGCTGCAAAACTTTTAGTTCAAAACTATGTAAATAAAAGGCTTCTTTATCCTCCATTTTCCTCCTTTTACCTACATAGAGCTTGTGTGGAATTCATATTTGTAAGAGTTCTGTGTTCAGACATTACTTTGCCTTAGTTTCCAATTAAATGTCGAGTCTTATTGCGTATTGGTTAGAGTACTTGCCTCGCAAGCGACAGGACTCGGGTTCGATTCCCGGGTAGGGCGAAACTCGGCAAGTTTCCTTACTCCACACGCCTGTTTACTGAGCAGTAATTAGGAACCAGGTTGTTAGTCGATCGGCCGATCGCTTTTCCTGGGGTAATACAAAAAATTTGTTCACTTCAATCCACGATTGTTTGTGGGACGCTACTGTGCACAATTGGCTGCCGTGTTTCACCAACAAAATATACAATAAATTCACTTTACAGTATATTCTGTGAAGCACTTTGAAACATCTCAATGACGTGATAAGGTACTATATAAATGCAAGGATTATTATTAATAAATATCTATTAAAAGCTCTGACCTTGGATTGATCTATTGAGTCACCGATCTGATTTATATTCATGATCAGTGCATTTGATTGAACGATCCCTCGTCAGTTTAAGACATAATTGGCACAATTAACACAAATACATATTCCACGTATTCAATGCTGATCACTATGCATCACGCAAAACTGGGAAATAAAATGTTCTGTCACCAACCTTTCAAAATAGGAACTTTCTTACAGGTTAAAAAAAAACATTTGGCGGTTTGCTGTTTTGTAAGCATCCTGGTTTGATCACAGTCGGGGCGTTTCAATGCATGTTGAGTGATTGGAGTGATTAAGCTGCTTATCTGCTGCATTTAGGATTCTCTGTGAAGGCTGAAGGCTTGTATCAAATGTTTATAGCAGTGTAATAGAATTGTCCCGTTTGGAGCCCAAGGCAGCTTCAAGGGGGGAGTTTCATCGCTGAAGTACTAAATCAATTTTGCTGTAAAATCACATCATGAGCAAATCTGCAGGTGCAATGCAAATTGAAGATGCGTGATAAGGAGCTGTGGGGTATGAATTATATCTCATAAGTGGTTTGACTTGGTAACTCGTCAGCAACAAGTCGTGAGTGAAATATCAATTCTATCTCAGAGCTTCTCACCGTTTCTTTCTGTTTATGCCAGAGATTAAGCATAAACTTTGTGGTGTCGCCTTGCAAGCAAGTGAACTGGGTTTAATTCCTGGCAGAGCGAAATGTTGGGCAAGTTTCCTTACTCCGCACGCCTCTGTTTACCTAGCAGTAAGTAGGACCCCGGTAGTTAGTCGATTGGCAGATCGCTTTTCCGGGGGTAATAATTCCTTCAAAAAATAATAATAATAAATCTGTACCTCAACTCCATTTGCCCTTGTCCACATCCACGACTTCAATCCCCTTCATAACTGTTTGTGGGGACTCTGCTGTGCACAATTGTGCTGCCACTTTTCCCCACAAAATATATACAGTCAATTCACTTTACGGTATATTCTGTGAAGCGCTTTGAGACGTCTCGAAGCTGTGGCACTATATCAAATGCAAGGATTATTGTTATTATTAAACTGAAGCCCCACAAGAGTGTAGGTGACCAGACAGTCTGGATCTAATTATTTTACTCAAAGAAGGTGTGCATCAGTAGCTGTGGAGGCAGATTGTATCAGTAGATTCAAGTCGTTTATCTATTTGATATCTGTGACAGCTATTTGTTCAATAACTTTGGAAATAAAATAATCCTTGCATTTGATATACTGATATATCCAATGGCTTGGAACGTGCTACTGACGTGAAAGGCGCTATACAAATGAAATGGTTGTTGTTTTTGTTGTTGTATCGCATTATTATGTTGTTGGAAGTGTCTAAAAGCGCTTGACAGGATTTTATTGTAAAGGACAGTGACTGTGTATTTTTAGATGAACGTGGCAGACAATTTGCACACAAGAGTCCCACAAGCAGCGATGAAGTGAATGACCAACTTTATCATTTTAGGCGTATTTGTTGTTTAGCATCGCGGGATAAACTCCCTTCTCTTTTCATATAGTACCATCATCTTAACATCCACCTCAGTGTAGGATTTCATCCAGATGACGCCACCTCCAACAGTGCCCCCCAGTACTGCACTGGAATGTGCAGTGACATAGACTATGAGATCAAAGTCCGACGTGGGGCTTGAGCCTACAACCGGCTGACTCAGAAGAGAAAGTACAACCTACTGAGCCTGTCTGACACCTGAGAGATAGAGATATGAAATGATAGTAGGGTCGCGCTCTGAGACACTACCCTGCGTGGAGGGCACTATATAAGTTGTTGTTGTTGATAGGGTAATGTGGGGTTATTTAAAAATATGTCTTTTTTTATTTTGGGACCAGCTGGGTGGACCGCAGTGGTCTTATTTAGTGCTTTACATTCACAATTTACCTAAGTAAGGTTAAAATGATTAAAAAAACTTCGATTTTTAAAATTATTTGGGAACTGAATTGATGCCTGGATATAGTATGGTACTGGTTATACCTCCCTAAACGTTTTCTCATAGTGTTGAGAAAATCTGAATAAGTTAATCTTTATACATATCTGAAAACATTGAAATAATGTGGAATAACTGAGAAATATTAAATGACCCACATATTGTTTGTTTGTAAGAGAATATTGAGCCATAAGCTGAAAGTGCCATAGAATTGTTGGCTAAGGTATTATATTTCACTATAGGCTACGTTTTAAAATGTTTGAGAAACTGGTGTAACCTGTTCCTGGTATCACAAATGTCACGGTTTATTGAATGTAAATTTCTGAGGAGAGTGAGGATGAAAGAGACTCTGAAATTATCTCTTATCAAACTGGAAAGTGTTGAAAGTTTAATAAAGATAAATAAAGATAAATATAAATTTTCACTGCGTTGGAATCTTGTTGTTGTCTTGTTGTTGTATAAAGCAAAGCATATTCATAGATAGCGATGTGAGTAATATTTTCTCCTTCTGCTATACTTCTCCTACCTGTTAACACATTTTATTTTTGACTTGCAATAATAATAATAGTCCTTGCATTTGATATAGCTTCTTACCACGTAATTGAGATGACACAAAGCGCTTCACAGAATATACTGTAACGTGTGTATTTTGTGGGCGAAATGTATAAGCATTTGTAGTGCACTTGGACTAATATGTACATGTTGGTGTTTCCAGTTGCAGGAACAACTTCGAGAAGACAAAAGCCCAGTGGAGTCTGAGTATTTTCACACAAGGGGTAGGTGGCACTTGAAAGCCGTTGTAAAATAAAAATATTCCTTTTTCTGTTGCCAACTAAGTTGTGCTGCTTACCTCTGCTTCGTTTGTAGGACCTACAGCGACTCGAACTGTGTCTATTTTTTCAGGGAGAGCTAGACCTGACAGGTACAGTTGTAGGAAGACTTCAGGGGATTTTTTGATTCAACTGACTTGGAAACGAACCCAGTATCCTGTTTCATTTATTTACAAAAATAATAGTATAATATTCTTTGTATTTGAAAAAGCCCTTATCATTTGTCAAACCATCTCAAAGGCTTCACAGGATTTACTGTGAAGTGTAGTGACTGTGTATTGTAGGAGATTGTGGATGTGCAGACTTACACTCCTTGAGCCGGGGAAACACTCAGTTAGACAACCCTATAGATCTCATATCTTTCCCTCTGTCAATTTATGTCTTGTTCATGGAGTTTATGCACTTTCTATTGTTATTATACTATGCAGAACCTTGTATTTATCCTAAATTAACTTTAAACAATACAATAATATTCCTTCCATTTAATATAGTGGCTTTTCGCATTGTTGAGATGTTGTTGAGATTATAGTATAAAGTGGATCGACTGTGTATTTTATGGGTAAAACCATTGATCAGCCCAGATACATACCTTATTGGGCTTTCTTAGGTAACATCTTGGCTGCTTTCTCTGATTGCACATATTTGTTTTCTTCTCATTTAGGAGTAGATTATGTTGAAAGAATAAAACAATGTCTGGAGCATCTACCAGATCCAGTCCCACAATTAGAGGTAACAAGCTTTGACACCCTTCAAACTCTGTAATTAAATGTAGAATATTGCATAATTTGGAATGATTAAATATGTTTTCTGAACATAAAGGTACTTGAGATTTATGATTTCATAAATATTATGATTGCTAGACGAAAGGAGACCAAGGTCCATCTAGTTTGCCTTCCACAATCCTGGCAGTCGCTTGCACATGCCAGGTCCCAAACTATATATTCTATCCCGAGATATTATTTTCTAACAAATCAATCTAATTTGTTCTTGAAAGAATCAACACTTACTTACTCCACCGTCTCCCTTCCGCCTCTGAAATATGTTGATGTAAGAATTCTAGATCGGATTTTCTGATCTTGAATATTAGAGCCTGTACATCGCAGATCACCATTTACACCCATTGACTAATTTTCATGGCTTTGCAATGGTCTTTTCCAGGACTATCTAGACTCCCAAGGACTTTCAACACTGTTTCCCCGGGTTGAGATATTTGTAATACACGGCAGACCTGTTGACATGTTGGAACGGCCTCCAGTAGATGGTAAGGATTTTTCTCCTGTGTCTCAATGTGTGTATCTGATGTAGTGCTCTGGTGATTTAGCTTATAATAATAATAATAATAATCCTTGCATTTGCTAAATAACAATAGTGAAACTTTCAGTCTTTAGTTATTATCTGATTCAACCGCAGTTTTCAACAATGTGATATTAACAGTTAAGTACGAAGGCCAAATTAATTAATGCTATGAAACACAGCCTTGATATCACTCTTTTTTATTGTGAAAGCGTCCCTTACGGATTATTAAGGATCCATTCACTGTCTCGCTGTGAATGTGATTACCGTAGTAATCTTGATTTCCTCCTTTTATTCACTGCTTTCTTGGTCAGATCCTGCTTGACCTTCACTTTCTTGGTCTTTGTTTTCCGGCTTTCTCCTCCTGGCCTCGTCCACCTGCTCCCCCTAATCATTCCACTTTTGCTTCCAGAAGAGCTCACACGTGAAACATTTGTCTTTCCCTTACAGATGCTGATCGACCTGCTTGTGTGTTTCCAGCTTTTTAAAAAAATATTGCAGCACAAAAGTGTCCAGAATCATCCTGGAATGTTTCAGAACAGATGTAGCGAGGGTTATAAACCATTTGAATCCCACTTGTTTATTTTTTAACCTTCCCTCTTTGAATAGTAAGTAGCTTGACGAAACAAACACAGGTACAAATTTGTTACTTCAGAAATGTTAATGCAACACATGCAACCAAATAATATTTATTAATAATAATAATCCTTGTGTTTGATATAGCGCCTTATCACGTTGTTAAGACGTGTCAAAGCACTTCACAGAATATATTGTCAAAAGGATTGACCGTATTTTGTGGGTAAAACGCGGAAGCCAATTGCACAGAGCCGTGTCCCATAAAAAAGACCATTGAATGACCCAATTTTTTTTGAGGGATTATTACTCCCTGAAAGTGATCCGCCATTCGACTAACAACCGGGATCTTATTGCGAGGTAAACAATCTTGGCAAAGATTTCGCCCCGTCGGGAATCAAACCCCATGCTTGCGAGGCGAGCTCGCTAACAACAGCTACAGGACTCCACGAGTTATCATTATTATTAACACACCATCTTATGAAGATGCTGCTTCAGTTCAATGGAGCTGCTTCTACAATGCCGTGCCAAACTGTATTCCTGTGTTTCTAGCCTCCAGCACTTTTACACAGCCTCCAAACTATCAGCGATTCCCAGCGGCAAATGAAATTCATGTCCACTGACGTGGTTTGACGTCACCATGAAGCTCTGATGCAATCACTTTTCCAATCTCCGGGACTCAAACAAACTAGAATGGAGGCTGGCAGACGTGTCTGAAACAGTACTTGTAACGGATTTTGTTACAATCTGTTCTGTGTACGTTTTTCTGCCGTTTGATGATGGTGTGTGCTAATTTAATAACGTGGTGTTTCACAGAGATGTAGGAGGTAAGTTTGCCACTACACCCTGAAACTCTGAACTCTCTCCCTCTATCCCACCACCTAGCCTCATCCTTCCCCATCCTCAGGTCATGGTTGAAGACCGTCCTCTTTGACCATGCCTACGGTCACCTCCCACCTCCCTCTGGCTTGTCGGTGTTCTCCGCCACTGTTAAGCGCTCTGGGACGCTTCCCTGCATGAGTGAGGGGCTCTTTGTAAATGGAAGTTGTTGTTTACACTCTCAAAGGTTAACTTTGTCTTAGCCTTAACACAATTTTTTAAATTCTTATTTACATTCAGCACCCTGAGATGCTATCCTGCATGAAGGTGCTACATAAAATGCAACTTGTTTTTGCTGTTGCATTTTTAAAAAAAAAATGTAAAATCATGCGGGATTCTGGAAAATTCTTAAAAAGTAAGCCTTAATTTGGAAAACAGTTTCCAGCAACGTGAGGAGGGAGGGGGTGAGGTGGAGGGACACTGGGATGAAGTTCCAGAGAGTGAGGGAGGTTGGCTGAAGATGCATCTGCCAATGGTGGGGCAGAGTGGGTTGGGAATCATGAAGCAGGCCAGGCCAGTGATTAAGATTACCTACATAATCCTTACAGGAATGCTAATAAAACCTCTTGTCATTATACAGAGGTTGCGGGTGATACAATCGTGTTTAACAGGTGTGTTTGCGGTTTAGTATATCTTAACGTGCGTAAATAGTACCCTCTCCCTGTCTCACACTGACCTTTGTGCAGAGCTAGGCTTATGGTGATGGCAGCAATTAGGATGTTACGTGTGCAGCTTTTTTTCAGTCGCTGGCGTTTGTGTTTTTATTGCAGATTATTTTTCCCACATTGGGAAACTCAACCAGCTTCTGGTTTTGAGTCAAAAACTGGAAGATGACGTGCAACATCTAGGAAGCCACAAATATGTAGCACATCAACTTTCTGTATTGTATGTGAGTACATTATAACTACCGTTATCCTTGTGGCATACTGTTAAAATAAATCCCTCTAACGGTCTCCTTAATTCGTGAATTGCGCCAAATATTCTATTCATCGCAATGCTTGCACCATCTCCTCTTTAATGTGATGGTTTTAAATGAACAAATTCATCATTAATTTCAGAATAACCCATGTCATTCAGTTATTACGCTATACTGTACAAGATATTTTGGCAAATGCTAATTTTAGGCACAAATTAATCATTAGCTGACAAGGTTAGTGTCTTTACATTAAATTTACATTTAAGATTAGACGCTTTGAGACGTTTCGAAGATGTGATCAGGCGCTAAATCAAATGCAAGGATTATTATTTTTATTTACTGACCAACGGAATTTCACTCCCCCTCTTAATTTAAATGTTTAATAATAATCTTTACATTTGCCTTTGATACAGTGCCTTATCACGTCATTGAGACGCCTCAAAGCGCTTCACAGAATATACTGTAAAGTGAATTGACTATATTTTGTGGAAAAATTTAATTTAAATATGAAACACTTGTATAATAACTATTGGTATTGTTTTTTCTTTTTCCCTAGAAAGTTCTCAGTTATTTTAATGGGTGTGCTACTTTGGATACCCTAAAAAGAGACATCGAGGCTAATTTCAAAGCTTTAAAATCGGGACTGGCTGTAGCAGAGGGTTCTGTGCAGGAACCTATTCTACCATCATATTATGTAAACTGGTAAGTAATACAATACAAATTTATATTGGTACACTGTCTTTCACATTGGGAGGATTTGCTAAGGCATAAAGCTGGAAGGGCTTTTAGGAGCAATTTTTTTCTACAGATAATAGCGTCTAAGTTTAAGCACTCGCCGAGATGCTACTTTGCATGAATGGTGCTATATAAATGCAAGTTGTTAAGTTTGTGATATTTATATCCTCCTAATCCCAACCAAAGCTTGGGTGCAAACACTTGACTATCCACCCTGATGTGAAATGCACATATTATATTTACATGATATATATTTACACACCTGAATTCATTAGTTGTAATTTGTTATTACTTATTATTGATTTATTAACTGCACTGTTTTATTAATCTACTTCAAAAGCAGAAGGAACACTTTTAAGAAATATTGCAGATTACCACAGATGGCACTGATGCTTGTAATGTATTGTAGAATTGCATTGACGTGCAAATTATTGAACGGTTGTATCGAGCAGTCAGTGAAACTGATAAAGCTGAAGTCTAGTATATTTTTAAAAGATCAAAATGTTAAAGTAAAGAATTTTTACTTACAAAGGGTACATTTTGTACAGTTCTTGCATTTTTTTTAATATTGCACAAAAAGCTAGTAGTTTCAGAGCCAAAACTCTGGGTATAAAACAACTTGCATGTAATAAGCGGGTCAAGATTAGTAAGAGCATTGACTCTTGGGGGCTCTTTACCGAGCAGCTCACTACTTTTTGAATAGTCTTTAACATCTATGTGAAGAAATGCTTCCTGGCCTAAGTTCTAACAATGTTGGAATCAAAACAGAAGTCGTTGGGAACACGCAGCAGGTCAGGCAGCATCTATGGAGAGAGGAAAGTGCGTTAACGTTTCAGGTCGATGGCCTTTCGTCAGAACGACTACAATATTGGTTCTGATTTTAAGGCCATTCCTTAATTAATGCTGGAAACTCGATATCGCAGAGCGTTGAGCATAAATACACAAAATAATCTTTGTTTAAAATTTGTTGTTCTTCCAGGATTCTGCGTCTTACCCGTGGCATTATTACTACGGTTTCTGCACTACCTGAAGAGTTAACCGAAGAACTGTCTTTGGCCATGTCTTTTGTTACGAATATATCATAAAGTTTCCTGTGCGCAGGATGAGTTGGAGACCTGGGTTCTCGCGCTCTGCGTGCTGGTAAGTTCAATGCCACTTTGCTGATGTTCACATTTAATGGCATTTCCCATTATAAGTGCACATTGTCAAATGGCGGTAAAAGCACATAGAGCACGACTTTCCTCTTTCTTTCCCTCAACTCCCACTCATAAAGTACCAGACGTAATATTGCACTGAATGTCACGTTTAACATTGTCTGAAGAGAGAAATGGAGTGTCGGACAATTAATCATGTACCTTTTTTTAGAAAAATGTTTGTAGTTCTCTAGTTCATACCTCAGTTTAACTATGATAGAGCTGCAGTGGACCCGCTATAAAGCAAATTCACTTTTCCCATGGTACAGATCCCGGCATTTACTTATCCCCTAAACAAAGTGGGCGCGAGCTCCATTGATGCTTCACAAGGCTGGTCGGCGCACAGGAAGGTGACATCGTTGCACGCCAAGTGACGTCGGTGGCAACCTTTTGTCCTGGGAGTTGGCCATTTTAGCTTCACTCCAGCCCGTGCCAATGAGGGTCACCTGTCTATGACCTCCAGTACTTTGCACAACTGGCCATTCTGCACGCATGGCTGGCGATTGCACCTTGTCATAGAGCAGGTTCGGGTTTTATAGCTTTCAATTACCGTGTTATAACCGGGCTCCACTGTACTGTTGCGGAATGAAAACCATAGACCACACAACAATGAACAGTAATCAGTACAGGCTTTATTACGAGCTTTATTACGAGCTTTATTACAAGCTTACCGGTAAGGGGAAGCACCCAATCAGGTTCCCAAGTCACCCAAGATGGTACTTCCAAAGAATGTATAAAAACAAAGGGTTATTTTCTTTTTCTTATCAGATTATGTGGCATTTTACAACCAATGATTATTTCTTATCATGACCCGTGTCAATTCTGCAGCATTTTCACATCCAATCATAGCAATTAACAGTTTTTCTTTGTTTGCTATAATTTCACACACTCATATCAGAGTCGTGTGATGTTACCTAACCCTGAAGAGTGGTACCATCTGGTTTTAATAATCATCTCTTCTAGTCTGGGAAACGGTTGGAATGTCTAAGACTTTGTGTAAAGACCTTAAGTAAGACCGCTGTATAAGGCTATGTGGCAACACTGTGTACGTGCTTCAATTATCTATCACGTGAACCAACCAGGCACGTCGTCAGGGTCGTATAACCTTTGTCGGCTGATGGTACTTTTAATGTCACCTTCCACAGTACTTGTAGCCTGAAACAAAAGAGTAAAGTAGAGATCAAAAAAATATTTCAAGGCTGTCGTGAGACGATAGAATGCTCTGCCTTCAAAGGCTGTAGAGGTAGAACTAATTGGGATATTTAAAAGGCAGTTAGATGGAAGCAAGGGTTTTTAAGGGAATGAAGAAAGGGCAGAAAAATTGGATTGAAAGATTTGTCGTGATGTAATAAACTGGTGGAACAGGATGAATGGGCTGAACAGCCTCTCCTGTCCCTTCGTTCCGGAAATCTTAGATTGCAATCACGTTCTCTTGACTAGGTTTAACTCTCTTTGATTTACTATTTGTTGCAATTGTGCTCACCTGAGTTGAACCAAATCCTGCTTGCTCCTGATATTCTCACATCCACAGTCTCACAGTCACTTTCTAGCAAAGGGTCACAAGACTGTAGCAGAAAAGCCCTAGTTTGTCTAATCATTGCTCAAAGCTCATTCCTCCAACACTTGGGACCCATATAATAACAATAATCCTTGTATTTGACATAGCGCCTCAAGCTAGGGCTTGTCAGTCTTGAGAGAAGACGACTTAGAGGGACCTCAGAAATGTATCCAAATCCCTGACTGTCCAGCGCCTTGGGATGTCCTCCCGACTTGAAAGACACTGTACAAATATAATTTTGTATTGGATTTGTATAACATTTTAAATGGGTTTGAAAAAGTAAACCTAGAACTTTTGGATGCACTAAGACATGAAGACGTAGGTTTAGAGTTGAAAAGGGCAATTTGAGGACAGTTACCAGGAAGTTTTTCTTTACTCAGAGGGTAATTAACAGCTGGAACAGATTGCCAGGAAGGGACAGGACGATGGGCTAATTTAAATAGAAGCTTGATCCTGGGATGAGAGGATGGAAGGGTGGGTATTCTGCAGGAATTAGATCAAATGGACCGAAGGGCTTCTTCATCCAAACCAATCTTATGATGGCGTGATCTAATGTTCAATATGATAGGTTTTGTTAGTATCCTATAAGCGTATGTAATCTTAATTAATTGGCCTGGCCTACTTCAAGTGGAGTCCTGTAGTGTAGTGGTTAGAGCACTCGACTCGCAAGCGAGAGAATTTCAGGTTCGATTCCTGGACGGGGAGAAACCTTAGGCAAGTTTCCTTACTCCACACACCTATTTACCAAGCAGTAATAAGGAACCCAGTCAATTGGCAGGTTGCTTTCTGGGGGTAATAATCCCTTCAGAATAAATAAATAAAAATAATTTGATCACTCAATCTGACTGTTTGTGGGACGCTGCTTTGCCAAATTGGCTGCTGCATTTTACGCACAAAATATACAGTCAATCCACTTTACAATTTACTCTGTGAAATGCTTTGAGACGTCTCAATGATGTGATAAGGCACTATATGCAAGGATTATTATTATTATCATGTCCATAAGCGCTCTGGGGCGCTACCCTGTGTGAAGGGTGCTATATAAATGCAAGTTGTTGTTGTATCCCAGTCTCAGTATCCACTTCACAATGTGCAATAAATTAAACAGACCATATAGCACTGAAATAGGCCTTTCAGCCCAGCCACTATCTGTCTGAGTGTATATTCCATATGAGCCTCCACCACCCATTCTAATCCCTTATACCAGTCCTATAATTCTTCCCTCTTATGAATGCATTAGCATTTAGAATCATGTCTGAAATCTGTGGAAACAAGCAGAAATGTCTCTTCTGGAAATTAATTTGATTCCAGTTTGTATCTGTCATTTCAGACAGATGCATAATGTGTGTTTACTAATTTATTTATAGCATTACCCGGACTTTTTGTACTCTAATAATAGAGGGCGGGTGTGAAAACTGACTGCCTTCATGACTGTCTTGCAGAATTTCTGTGAATTGCCACGCACACCTTTTCTTATTCAGAGAAATACCTGTAACCGTATAGTGATAGTTCATACCCAGTTATCATAGAATCATAGAATTATACAGCACAAGAAGCCCATCGTGTCAGTGTCGGCTCTCTGAAAGAGCTTCCAAATTAATTCCATTCCCACTTTGTTAGTTCATTTTTTTTAATCAATCTCTGACCAGGAACTGATATACACCATTAAATCGAAAGGCAGAATTTCCTTTATAACATTAGAGTCCAGATCGGGAATCCCGTAGAGTAGTGGTTAGAGCACTCGCCTCGCAAGCGAGTGGGCCTGGGCGAGTTTCCTTACTCCACAGACCTCTGTTTACCTAGCAGTAAGTAGGAACCTAATTGTTAGTCAGTTTCTGGGGCGAATAATCTATCAAAAAAAATTGGGTCACTCAATCCACAACTGCTGTGCGCAATTGGTTGCTGCGTTTTGCCCACAAAAACACACGCAATCCACTTTATAATATATTTTGTGAAGCGCTTTGTGACGTCTCAAGGATGCGATAAGGTAAATGCAAAGATTATTATTAATGCTGGAGTTTAACCAGTTAAACCTGCATAGCTGGCCAGTGTGCGCTAAGTGTGGCAAGCTTCCTGCTGTTTGTCCAGCTAGGACCACCAAACTCTGTAGGGCTTTGGCTTTGCAGGGTTAACAGGAGCTGAGTGGGAAGATTCCCTGCTCCCGGCGATTTAATGTAATCCAAGTCCAGAATGGCTCTGTATAGGAAACACTTCTAAACCATTAATCATTGCTGTAGCATTGTATTACCCAGAAGTAATCAGTAGCAGTTTACTGGAAGCTACATATTGTAAGTGAAACTGCCCCGTTACCTATGGAGGTTAAATATTTTAAAATCATCTTACATTCTATCATGTGTGGGGTTTTACTCCTGCACAGTGAGGTGCTTTAGTGCTTTCTGCCCAAGGAATCAGTAGAATACAACAAATTCCTTGTTTCCATGTCAGTCTTTCCCCCCCACCCCTCCAAGTCCTGCCATGAGCCAGACTGGCTAGTATGCCCTGGACTACTACAGACCTGCCTGGCTCAGCAAGCGGACTACTGAGACCGCCACAATGATCGACTGGATTCAGACAATCTGGTGCTGATCAAGTTACCTTAGAGCCAGATCTCTGGTGATGGAGCAAGCACCATTACAGATATGAAGGGCCCATTGGCCTCCAGTGTTGTAAATATATATAGGAACAGGGATAGGCCATTCAGCCCCGTGAGCCTGTTCTGTTTCCTCCATTCCAGATCATGGCTGATCTGTACCACAACTCCAGTTATATGAAGAATCAATAATAAATGTTATGGTTTACGCTGGATGCGGTGTTTGCCCTGAAACGGAACAATGAGCTGAATTCTCCTGTCCGTTTTCTGTAATTTTATTATTTATTAAATTTATGGGAAAGGTTTAACACAATGTGCTCATCTATCTGACTAAGTGACCTGTGGTAATATCTCGCACACTTGTGCTGTGCACTGGTCTAATCTGTTACCGCGAGCACTTTAATGGATGACTGTAGTGAGTAAAGTGCTATTGTAGATATGTCATTTTAGTTAATGGAATTAGATGTAGCTTCAGATTAAAAAAATCATAACCTGATTTTTTTGGAACTGAACTGAAGATTGGATCGCTAGGTCTTGTGAGCTGTGTGAGGTTTGCCTCGAGCTGATTCAGTATTCATTATAAAGGAATTGAGTGTGGACAGTGTATGACACAGTGGATAAAGTACACTGTCCTTTCAGCTCTGGGAGCTGGAGTATAAATCCGTCTCAGACTGATTGCATGAAAGCCTCTTCTCTCTGCCAGGCATAAGCAAAATGTGTCTGGGCAACGTCAATCCCCTTCTTAATGGGAATGGGACCTGAGCACAAATCTGCCGATCTGACTGCAAAGCCACAAAGATCACAAGTGGAAATGCTAGTGCAGTAGTAATAAATAGAGTAGGTTCAGACCCAAGTGGAATTTCTCCCCAGCATCTGCTTGTCAAGGGCGGAGGGCAGGAGATGCTCACAGTATAAACGGTTTCACGCCAGAGCAAATGACGTCCAATAATAAGGAACATCTTTCCCCAATCTCCCCTCATACGATTACAAAAGTTGGGCGGACCCACGACCTGTCTTGAGACATTTTGACATAATCGCCGTTACATCAAACGCAATAATTCTTTTATTTGGTTGTTTTCTCGTTCGCATTGCGCTGAGGTCGTTGGTTGGTTGTGCTTTTCAAATGCGGGGAAATAGGCAAATACAATTCGGAAAAGTTCAGGTATTTTTTATGTTGTGAATTGTTTACACTGTTACTTTTTTCGATGACTGAATAAAGATGATCTTTTTATACGCTCGGATGCCTGTGTTTTTTTTTCTCTTTGTTTCAGGGTTACCTTGGGACGTCCTCCCGATGTGAAAGGCGCTATCCAAATCTAATTTTGTTATTGTTTATTTTAGGGGGCACCTTAAGTCCTGAAAAAGTAACTTCCTTCAGTTAAATGCCGACAAGACCGAGGCTCGTCTACTTGGCTCCTGTCCGCACCATCTCACCTTAGACCTTACCCAGTACCGATGCTCACTTCACCTCACGGAAGACGGGTCGGATCTCTGTGTGGGTCTCTTTTTGACCCCCGTCTTTCAAGACCCAGATCCAAACTCTCTCTCACTTAACTCTTCCCTCCCACCCTCCCTGGGTTTCCGAGACCCTCATACACACATTCATCACGTCCGGGCTTGACTATTGCAATGTGCTTTCCAGCTCTGGCACAAACTGCAGTCGATTTACAACTCTGCAGTCTGTGTCCTCTCCGAGGCTTCGTGAGCCTATCACCCCCATCTTCGCTCGGCTCCACTTGCTCCTTATCCCGCACCGGTGGGGTGAACGCCTCACCCCTGGGCGAGATATTGTGTCCCTGGGGCCAAATCTGGCCAATTCTTCACCTGCAACAAACTGAGCGAGAACAATAAAATTCTGGAACGGACACACACTCATCAGAGAAACACGGCCACTGATCCAACAACCTTCTCCAGCGACTGCCAGCGTCAGGAATGGTGGTGAGTTCAGTTTTTTTTTGTGTATATGCGTCCCTGGATTTGGTTGACAAGATATGGTCACCTACAGATCGTGTCAAATTCAAGAGTCACGTCCTGACCTGTAAACCCCCCCCACTTGGCGCTCACACGCACCGATCCTGTGGACGTCTATGTACAGTTAAACACTTGGACTGATCACAATGGAGTACGTCTGAATGCCATCATCATAATTCTTCCGTGTCACCTATCGTAAGCCCCAACTTCTCTGCTAACACCAGACCGCCTCGCGTTGCCCCCGTCCTCCGTCGTGGGGGGGGGAGGGGGGTCAGGCTTTAAGCCATTCCGCAGCCCCCCCCCCCCCCCAAATTTGCGCACAGAGTCACTACACTTATTTCGTGAAGCGCTTTGCGACGTCGGCGCTGTATCAAATGCGAGGATTAGTAATATATTTGCATTCATAATTATTAATCCCATCTGCGGTCCCCCCCCCCCCCCCCCTCGCCCCTTCGCCCCCACTCGCTTTCAAAGACGGTCTGGAGACCAATCTCTTTGACCGGGTGTTTGGTCATCTCACCCCTACGGCCGCTCTCCGGCCCCCCTCCGGCCCCCCGGCCCCCCCTGCACCCCCCCCCCCCACCAGATAGTAAGTGCACTTTGGAACCTCCTCCCAACATGAAATGCACATTGCACTGTACAACAGAGGGCGTCAGAGGAGAACTGCAGCTCAGTGTCAGGGGGGAGAAAGGGGGGTGGGTGGGGGGGTGGAGGGGGGAGGGGTTGCAACCCCTCTCTCAGCTGCTGTGCGTGTCCGCGGCCACCAGGTGGCGGTGCGAGTCCGTCCCTCGTACCTGCGGGACAGCAAAGAGGCGGCGCGGCGTTGAGACGGGACAGGCGATCGCGCGCAGAGAGAGAGAGAGAGAGAGAGAGAGAGAAAAAAATCAGGTCAGTGAAACCAACCGACCCCGGCGGCGGGAATCGGATGCAAAGAGCCCGCGCCGCTGCATTGGGTGACGTGCAAAAATAACCGTCGGGTTTGGCCCACTCCGCGTTGCATTCGGCGGTAGTTTCGAGGGGAGGGCGGGAGGGCGGGAAAGACAGGGCCCGGGAGCTGCGGTTCATTGACAAAAGCACAACCCAACGTGATGAGCGCGATTGACAGGGCCGCGGTCCAATCAGCGGCCGCGACTGACGGCGGGCGGCCAATGGGAGCGGGCGGGGGGCGGGGCCTGATCAGGTTCGGTTGTCGCGCAGCTACAGTGTAACGCTCCAAACCCGGAAGTGGCGCTCAAGTCACATTTCAAACCTTTTACAGTTCCCCTCAAAACGGGACGAAAACTCTCGTTTTTCACCCCATTTTTCCGCTGCGTTTTTCAAACATCGCCGCGGTCGCGCGTTGGCGGAGGCGCGCGATGCGATTGAACGCGAATCAATAATAACAACAATAATTATTATTTGTAATAAGGCAATTAAACACGAATTATAAACTCGTTTTTGGATCTTTGGAGGTTTTTTTTGAAAAAAAATTCGCCTTCAAAACTTTGGAATTTTTTTATGCGTAAAATATGTTATGTCCATCTATATTTTTGCGGTTTTTTAAAAAAAAACACACACTTGGTCGCTCCCAGCCCCGCGTGACGGTCTTTTTTTTTTTGAAAAGGAAATAAGACAAAGCGTTCCGGACGCTTCTTTCTCGGGGAAATGTTCCCGCAGCTCCGCAAGGAGGAGCGGGAGTCTGGCTTCGGGAAGGAACGTCGAGACAGGCAACTTTGTGGGTGCATTACTCACTCTACATTACGTGCAACTTGTTGTCCTGACAGTAAATCCTGTGAAGCACTTCGGGCCATTTCATTGACAATAACATCATAATAATCCTTCAAGGCCGGTCTCAAAACCTTTCTCTTTGACCGTGCCTTCAGCTCCCCTCTCGACTCTCTACCCCCTCCTCGCTCCTTCCCTTCCCTTCCCTCACCCTGACCATTTCCCCCCTCCTCGCTCCCTCCCTTCCCTTCCCTCACCCTGACCATTTCCCCCCTGCTCGGGTCATGACCCAACTGTGCAGTCCTTGGGACGTCCTCCTGACGTGAAAGGCGCTCTATAAATGGAATCTTGTTGTTGTTGTTGTTGTTGAATTTGGATCACGTCTTTGAGACGTCTCAAAGCGCTTCATAGGATATACTGTAAAGTGAATTGACTGTATATTTGTGGGCGAAAGGCGGCAGCCAATTGCGCACAGCACTGTCCCACAAACAGTTGTGGGTTGAAGTGACGCAATTATTTTTTTTGAAGGAATTATTATCCCCAGAAAAGCGAATCGCCAATCGACTATCAACCAGGTTCCTGCTCACTGCCAGGTACAATGATGTAATTAGACGCTACGTCAAATGAAAATGCAAGGATTATTATTATTATAAAACACTTACCAACCAGTGGTCCTTCAAATCTGCTTCCTGGAATTGCCAATGTCGTCAACTGGAGCATTCTGCAAATATGACAAGGGCATCGCTTTATTTCAACTAAATTCTCTTAGGGTTGTCATCACTCCTATCCCCAAAAAACCCTTCCTGGACCCTTCCCTTACTCCCTAACTACCGCCCCATCTCCAACCTCCCTTTCCTCTCCGAGGTCCTGGAACGAGTTGTTGCTTCTCAGCTTCGCTCCTTCCTCTCCCGCCACTCCCTTCTCGATCCCCTCCAATTGGGTTTCCGTCCCGCGCACAGCACAGGAACCTCCCTGGTCAAGGTGACAAATGACATTCTGTCCATCTGCAACCAGGACTCCCTCTGCCCCCTCATCCTCCTTGACCTCTCTGCTGCTTTCGACACCCTCGACCACTCTATCCTCATTCACCGCTTCTCCTCTCATCTCAACCTCCACGGCGATGTCCTTGATTGGTTCGATCGTACCTCTCACACCGCCTGCACTTCATCTCCTCAAATGGCTTCTCCTCTCTCCCCCGACCGTTCCGTACAGCGTTCCTCAAGGTTCTTTACTCGGTCTCCTCCTCTTCAATATCTATATGCTCCCTCTTGGTGACACCATCCGCAGACATGGGGTCAACTTCCATATGTATGCAGATGACACCCAAGTCTACCTCTCCACGCAACTGCCTCCAGCCTTGACTCCAGGATCACTGCTGTCCTGACAGAATGTCTGTCAGACATCAAGTCCTGGATGAGTAAGTTTCTTCAGTTGAATGTCAACAAGACCGAGGCTCTCCTGATTGGCTCCTGTCAGCGCCCCCTCACCTCACGTGCTGACAGCATCACCCTCCATGGTTGCACACTCCCCCTTACTAAGCCAGTCCAGAACCTTGGGGTCTTGTTTGACTCTCAACTATCCTTTCTACCCCACATTTGCGCCATGACCCGCTCTGCCTTCCCCACCTCCGCAACATCGCCAGAAAAGTGAATCGCCAATCGACTGTCTCACACCACAGGCCACCGAAACCCTCATACACGCCTTCATTAGTGGAGTCCTGCAGCTCAGTGGTTAGAGCACTCGCCTTGCAAGCGAGACACTTGGATTCAATTCCAGGCAGAGGGTGAAACCTTGGGCAAGTTTCGTTACTTCACACAGAGCCTAATAATAATCCCTCCAAAAAACAATAATAAATTGGTCATTTTCAATCCACGACTGTTTGTGGACATTGCTGTGCGCAATTGGCTGCCGCGTTCGCCCACAAATATACAGTCAATTCACTTTACAGTGTGTCCTTTTAGCGCTTTGGGACGTGATAAGCTGCTATATCAAATGCAAGGATTATTATTATTATATTACTTTGAGGCTCGACTCCACAAACTCACTCCCCACCTCTTCCCTCCACAGGCTGCAGATCATCCGGAACTCTGCAGCCCGTGTCCTCTCCCGCACCAGGCTCCGTGACCCTATCACCCCCATCCTCGCCCGGCTCCACTGGGTTCTCATCACAAAAAAGGATGCAGTTTAAAATCCTGGTCCTCACCTTCAAAGCCCTCCAAGGTCTTGCTCCCCCCTACCTCTCCGACCTCCTAATTCCCTATCATCACGTCCCCCGCCTCGCTCGCCCCACTATCGGCAGGCGGGCCTTCCGCCCTCTGCACCCACCCTCTTGAACTCCATCCTGCAATCCCTCCACCTTGCCTCCTCCCTTGCCTCCTTCAAGACCCACCTCAAGACTCTCCTCTTCGATCGTGCTTTCGATCCCCTGCTTCCCCCCCTGCCCTGCCCCCTCCCCCACCCCGACCCTCAGCTTGGGTCCAAAACTCTGTCTGTCCAGCGCCTTGGGACGTTCTCCCGATGTGAAAGGCGCTTTACAAATCTAATCTTGTAATAATATTTTTAAAGAACCTGTGGTCAATATTTTCTCATAAAATTACATTTCCAATCAATTGGGATGCTCAAGTGTTTGTGCCGGGCAGTGTGGTGTTTCTTACAGAGGGATTTTAATAGGATGCAGGACTTGTCACCACAAGTGACCATTGAAGTCAAGTCAAAAAACCCCCCAAAAATGTGATCACTCAATCCACGACTGTTTGTGGTACACTGCTGTGCCTTGTTTCCCCCACAAAATACACAGTCAATCCACTTTACAATGTAGTCTATGAAGCGATTTGAGACGTCTTAACAATGATATAAGGCGCATTAATAATAATAATCCTTGCGTTTGATACAGCGCCTTATCACAACTTTGAGACGTCCCAAAGCACTTTGCAGAATGCACTGTAAAGAGAATTGACTGTATATATGGTGGGACAAACGTGGCAGCCACAAGTGTCCCACAATTGGTCATGGATTGAGTGTCCAATTTTTTTATGTATATATATCAATGCTATATCAAATGCAAGGATTATTATTATACGTTTATTCAGCCCATCATGTTCACCTCGTTAAAGGTCCATTAAGAAAAAGGACTATCGGTCATCTTTTCACCCCCACCACCACCACCTCGGCTCCCCTGCACTGTTGGAGGTGCCGTCCTTTGGATGAGATAATAAAAACCGTGCCCGTTCTGCCTGTTCAGGTGGACGTTAAAGATCCTGCGGGGCAAATTGAAAAGAGAAGGGAGTTTCTCTCTCCCGGTGTCCTGGCCAACAATCCCCGTAGATAAAATTGGTCGTTCGCCTTTATGGTTGTTTGTGGGGAACTGTTGTGCGCAAACTGGCTGCTGCCTTGGCCTACAATCACAATTGACAGTAATTCCTGGGAAGCACTATGAGATGTCTCGAAGATATGATATAATGCTGTAACAAATGCAAGGATTATTATTGTGCACTAAATGCAAGTTGTTGTTGTTTTGTGGCGGTCTCGGTATTCCAGTTCCTGACCCAGGTTGGTCCTCAGTCCTACTCTAATGACAGACCAGCCAGTCTATCTCATTGGCAAGACTTGGAAGGGCAGACTGAGGGATGACATTCTCCCTACTCAGCTCTTGCTCACCCTGCAAGCCAGAGCCCTACCAGGTAGGGTGGAAAAGCATCAGGAAGCTTGCAAGACAATATTTACAATCTACGCTCCCAAGCTCGGCATTTTAGCATGTTAAATCCACCACAGGATAGCAGCAGTGGTTAGCATGCTTGCTTTGCAACTCAGAGGACCCAGGTACGAATCCCGAGGGGGATTCCTTATTCCACATGCCTCTGTGTACCTAGCAGTAAGTAGGAACCCGGTTGTTAATGGATTGGAAGGTCACTTTCCAGAGATAATAATCTCACCAAAAATAATAATAATAATAATAATTTGGTCAGTCAATCCACGACTGTTTGTGGGACACTGCTGTGCGCAATTGATAGCCATGTTTTGCCCACAAAATACACAGTTAATCCATTTGCTTTGAGACGTCTCAATGATGTAATAAGGCGCTATATCAAATGCAAGGATTATTGCATTACTATTATCCCAATGCACAGTCTGCGATCTTCAAGCCTTGATTCTTGCCAACCTGCACCCAATATTTTCCGGCATTA